ACAGGAAACACAATATATAATCATACCCTGGTTAAAAATACAGGTGGCCTCACCCCATTCACTTTTACTATAGACCTTTGCTCCATCATGGGCCCTGGTATGGCCATCTCCTCCGAGGGCAATTGGTGGACCTGTGCTACTATGCAAGGGGGAAAGAAACAATGTGACAACTCTGGAAAATCTTATGGGTGTGGTAAAGCTCAAAAGGAGCGAGACATGCAAGACATAAACATTTACCTCTGTCCAGGCACCCATGCCCCCTGGCAGTGTAATGATGCAGGGTCTTACTATTGCTATAAATGGGGATGTGAAACCATGTCTACTATTACAGGCCACAGTGTTCAAAAAGACAAACATATACAAGTCCAGCGTTTAACCCCCAACTCAAATTGTACTGTGGGTCAATGCAATCCTCTTAACATAACCATAAAAGACCCTTGGGACCTGACGCAAGCATGGTCTACAGGCCTGACCTGGGGAATCAGGCTCTATGAATCAGGATATGACAACGGTAATTTGTTCACTATCCAACGAAAAATCCTCCCCAGATCAGGTTTCCGCAGGGCCCCGGAGCCTCCTTACTATTACCGGGAAAAATTCAAAAGAGTGCAACAACCCCCACAACCCTGACCTTAGGGTCCCCCAGCCCTTAAACTGCCAGAGCCCAACAGTGAGACAGACTCATCCCTGCTAAATATGTTAACACATTCATATTACATGTGACATTCCACTAACCCAAACTAGCACAAGACCCCCCCTTCTACACCAAGTTAGCAGTCAACTACTCTAGCCTCCCATCAACAGACGAGTGTTCTGCTCAAACCCTCCATGTCACCTTAGGAAATATACAAGGACAAGGCACATGCTTTGTAACACCCTCCTACAATGTAACCCAGTCCCGCTTTTCAAAATTTTGGCCTACAATAATTTCCTTAGCTTACAATGGCACAGTAATGTATTACCCATCTACACCCGAAACCTGGTTCGCCTGCTCCTTCAGCCTTACTAATTGTATATCCACCTATGCCTTTAACACTTCCAGTTCCCCAGAATTGTGCACCCCCGTATACCTGCTCCCTCATATTGATGTATATGAAGGTGACCAAGGACTAGCCTTGATCACAGCTCCCGACTGCACACGCCACACTCGAGTTCCAATCCTAATCCCCTTCCTAGTCAGATTGGAATCACAGGATCCTCAGCTTTAGGAATCTCAGCCCTAGCAACACAAGGACACGGGGCTCAGCAGTTTGTCAGGAGCAATAATACGCTGACATCAGTTAATTAGAAAATTCTCTCTCTGAAATGTCAGCCCATATTGAGTCACTAGCTGGAGTTGCTCTACAGAATTGAAGAGGGCTAGACCTCCTATTCATAAAACAAGGGGGGCTTTGTGCTGCTCTAGCTGAAGAATGCTGCTTTTATGTTAACAAAACTGGAATAATTAAAGAAACTTTAGCTGTGAGTAAGGAGAAATGTGGAAGAAAGAAATAGAAAATTCGATTCAACCCAAAATTGGTATCAAACCCTATTCATTTGATTTCCTTGTGTTGTTGTTGTTGTTGTTGTCAGGTGCCATCGAGTTGGAATCGACTCCCTTATACTCATAATATTAGGCCTCTTAGTCAGCCCCTGCATCCTAAATGCTTTCGTTAAATTTGTACAGAACCAGATCGGAGTCGTAAAACTCTTGCTGCAGGCCCAATATATTATACTGCCTTCAACACTGAAACTACCATTGATGAATCAACAATCTGATTCATCCCAAATAAAAACAGAAGGGAATGAAACAAAGAACTGAGAAAAAACTAGAGACTCAGTGTCCTTTCTTGTATGCTAACCTCCCCGAAGTAGATGTAACAGGAAAAACCCCACAGATAGTGTTCACTGCCCTAACAATGTAACAACCAGCCCCAAGTGTTTATTGCTGTTTTTGCTTCTGTACTTTCTGCTTCAGCAACCCCTTTGGAAAGCCCCTAAACCCCCGAGCCAAGAACTTATATAAGCCAACAACTACTTCTCCGGGATGTGGCAGATTCAGGAGAGCCTGTTGTCTCCCTGTCACCCGGCTATAGCTGTGCCAATAAAATTTCTCTAAACTTGGACATTGTAGTGGTCATCATCCTTTGAGAATCGAACCCGTAACATATTAAGTAATGTGTCCCTGTTCCAAGCCCCCCCCACCCCATCTCAGTACTGCAGGATGTGGTGGTGATGGTTTTTATTCAATTTCAGTCTTTCCTTGAGCCCTTTCTAAAGTCCAGGGTCTAGGCTGCACAGATAGATCCTATCAAAACCTCCCCTTCCTCATGTGTCTGCTAGAAACCCTCCAGTGGTTCTGTCACTTGCAGTCAAAGCCACAGTTCTTAAATGACCTCTGTGACTCTGGGCTTCCTGCTAACTCTCTTCCCTCCTGTCTCCCTCCTAGCAGTGCCACCAAATATCTGCTGAGCTCCATCCATCCCTGGTAGCCTTCAGAGCCTATACGTCATTTTCCTAACAACCGAGCAATACTCTGTCTAGCCATTCTTGAAATTGCTAACAATTCCATATCCCTTTCCCTGTTTTCTTATCATTACCTAACTTACTGGAGTCCAGGTGTGATGCTGTAGGATAAGTCCTGGATAAGGTCAGCAGTTCAAACCCACCAGCTGCTCCTTGGAAACCCGATACAGGGTGGCTATGAGTCAGAGGCGACTCGATGGTACTTAACACCAACCGAACTTAATGGAGTCTTGGTATGGCACTGTAGGGTAAAGCACTGGACCGCAAGGTTGGCAGTTCAAACTCAGTAGCTGTTCCTTGGAAACCCTATATAAGGTTGCTATGAGTCAGAACTGATTCAGTGATGCGTAACAATAACAACAACCTAACTTACTACATGCCTGTTTAAAATATATGCTTAAATATATGTTTAAAATAAGAGACAAGAGCAGGCTTTTTGTATCTTACTCATTGCTGCACTAAGTCCAACACAGAGTCGAAAACTAAACAAACCCAAAACCTGTGGCTGTGGAGTCAATTCTGACTCTTAGCAGTCCTGTGGGAGCATGGTGGCTCATAGGGTAAGCACTGAACTGCAAACCTCGGGGTCCATTGTCCAAATCTGCCAGTTGCTCCACAGAAAAAAGATGAGGCTTTGTGCTCCTGCAAAGATTTAAAGCATGGGGAACTGACTCCATGGCACTCCACAACCACAAAGCTCAGTGAAGGAAGCCCATGTCAGATTCCGTTTACATGAGTAGAACTGCCCCAGAGGGTTGCCAAAACTTTAAATCTTCAATGGAAGTAGACTGCCAGATCTTTCTCCTTAGGAGTGATTAGTGGGTTTGAACCTCTGATCTTCTGGTTAGCAGCTGAGCACTTAAATCACTGTGCCACCAGGAGTCCTTTGAACACAGAGTTGTTAAGTGCTGTCAAGTTGATTCCAACTCATAGCAACTCTGTATAGGGCTTCCAAGGAGCAGCTGGTGGGTTTGAAGCACCAGCTTGGTGTGGTGGTGGTATGCCCGGGCATCGGTTCTAACTCATAGCAACCCTGTATCGTGTTTCTGAGGCTATAAATCTTTATGGGAGTAGAAAGCCTCATCTTTCTCCTGTGAAACAGCTGGTAGCTTTGAACTGCTGGCCTTGGGGTTAGCAGCCCAATTTGTAACCACTATGCTACCAAAGCTCCTAACCTTATGGTTAGTTTAGGGCTTATCCTACAATGCCACAGCAGGACTCCAACACAATGTTGTTAAGTGCCTGTCAAGTCGGTTCCAACTCATGGTGACCCAGGACTTCAACACAGAGTCGTTGTTAACTGCCTTCAAAAGTCTGTTTGGACTGTATAGGGTTTCGGAGGAGTGGCTGGTGAGTTTGAACTGCCAATCTTATGATTCAGGCCAACCTTACAGTGCAGCATATTTGCCTGTTGCACCACACCAGGAATCCCCAACACGGAATGTTGTGTGGTTGAATGCTGTCGAGTCGATTCCAACCCATAGCGACCCTGTATAGGGTTTCCAAGGAGCAGCTGGTGAGCTTGAACCACTGATTTGGCAGTTCTAAAGACTGCAGTCTGATGCGTTAGCCCACTGGGCCACACCAGGACTCCCCGACACGGAATGGTGATCTGTAAATATTTGTTGAGTGAATAAGTGCATGTTTACGCCTAGAAGAATAAACCAAGCTTATTGATACAAACCGATACAGACTAACCAGGGTAATGAGGATTCAAATCAGGAGGAGAGACTAGGAAGCTGACTCTTGGGGCCCAGAGGAAACTTGAGGGGGTGGGAGGATCGGATTGGATGAGGGGTTCGGAGGAGGAGTCCTTCCTAATTCTGTTTCCCATATCCACTCTCATCCTTGGTCTCCCTGCCCCCTCGGCCCCTCCCTGAATTCCCACCATCTCCTCTTTGGGGCTAGTTAGTTGGGCTCCAGGCTGGAGGTCCTTTTTCCCGGCAGCTCTGCCCCTGGCCTATTTGTGATGTCGGCTGCTGTGATGTAAGTGCGCTGGTCTCCTAGGATCCACTGGGGGCTGCCCAGTCTCCTAGCTAAGGTTGAGACCCTGCATGTCGTGGGCCTACCCTTGTGGCCAACCCCCAGAGTCATGCCAGTGTGGGAAGGGGTATGTTCTCTGGGATGGATGACCTGGATCCCATAGCCATCTGTGTCCTGTTTGAGGAGTGGGACCCTCAAACAGAGGGCAGCCAAGATGATCAGGCAGGTGTGTGCTTAGCAGCCATTGGACTGGTACTGTGCTGCTGTCCTCTGGGGACAGAGCACATGGCTTTGCTTGGTGGCCACCACTGGCCAGCTGAGCAGAGGAGGACTTGTAGGGAGATGGCAACTCTTCAGAAGTTCGAGTGTGACTGTGTCTTTGCTACCTCCTTCACTTTTCGAGAAAGATGACTGATCTCATGCTGATTTCTTTTCGCCCGGGGTGTAACTCGGGTCTCTGATGCTCTTTCCTCTCCCTTCAACCAGCAGCCTTAGGAGACTCCCCAGTCTGCAGGTCTCCAAGGGAGCCCACCAGCGTGGCCAGCATGGCCTCCGAGGACATTGCCAAGCTGGCAGAAACACTGGCCAAAACCCAAGTGGCCGGGGGACAGCTGAGTTTCAAGGGCAAGAGCCTCAAACTCAACACTGCAGAAGATGGTAAGTTGCCTGTGCAGTCTGGGAGGGTGTCTGCGTGAGGGAGCTGACTGACCGACACTCTTCCAGCACCATTATCCCCATCACTTGTCCCAGTGGCACTCTGAGGTGTGTGTCTTGGTCCATCCTAAGGATGATCTGCTTGGAACATGAGCGGGCTTCCCTGTCTGTCCCCATGCTGGCATTGGACATTCTTGATAGTGACTGCTCAGGCTGGTAGACAGGAAGGGCCCCTTAGCTCTCAAGGGAGGTGGTGGTAATTCGGGACCCGGCTACGGCAGCCCCAAATTTTGCTCCTGACTTCTGAGTTCAGGTCCAGTGCTCTTCCCTCCCTCCTGGTGCCCTCCTCAGAGCTGAGGCACTCACAGAATGCATTCAAACAAGTCCAGGTCTCAGGGTCAGGGGGAAGGCTGGAGGACTCGAACTGCAGAGGATTAGGGACCCCAACACAGATTTTGTCTTTCTATTCCTGGCCAAGGCTGCTGGCGCTGACCAACCTGGAAGTGAAGGCGTCCACGTCAGTGTTTGGGAGGTCCCTCGAGGCTCTGGTTCAACCAGGGAGCCTGGCCTGGGGTTGCCCAGGTGGGAGTGCTCAGGTTACTGGGTACATGGGGCCTGAACATGTACCGAGGCTTCGGACTTGGATCCTCAAGTCTTCCATGGTGCAGTGTGGGGTGATTGTTGTGGAAATGCTGTTGCAGGTGAAGGAGAGACTTAAGTAGCTGAAGGTCACATTGTTGGTAAGTAGCAAAGTCAGGATTTCCTCAGGTCCAGCCAAGCCCAGCCCCCATTTCTGTGAAGTGACAAATCTCAGCTCAGTGAATAAGGACTTGTTTTTAGATCACATTTCATGAGTATTTATGAGGGGGCTTCAAAAAGTTTGTGGAAAAATGGAATTTTGAGAAGACAGTGGGATTTTTCAACAGACATTTTGAAGTCCCACAGTGCCCTGCAAAGAGTATCTCAGTGTATCTTCACAAAAGTCCCTGAGGTAGATTGGGAAACAGACTCAGGGAGATAAAAGGACTTGTCAGAGGGAACAGCTGTAAGTCGGGGAGCTAGGATTCGAACTGAAGTTTGTCTGGCTCTAAAGTCATGCTAGTGACTTCTTCACTTCATCAGCATGGGCTTCTGAAGGTAGCTCCTTTCGTGGGCTCCCAGGGATGCCCAGTAACAGCCCCAGCCTCTAACAAGCTGGAGGAAGAATGAGGTACCTCCCAAGAGGCCTGAGCAGAGGGCTGTGAGAATGAGGGTGGGGAGTGGAAGGGTCTGCAAGTCTTTGTAGGGGAGGTGCTGTTTGAACTGTGTTTGAAGGAGGAGTTGAGAAGACACTCACCAGGCAAGGATAACAGAGTTATGACACAGGACATCCAGTTCCTGGAAATGCCCTCTAAGCTGGGAAGGAGCTGAGCTGACGATGGGTGGGTGAGCGCCACCATGAGGCCGACGCTGAGGTTGCTGCTTTCCTTTCCCCTCCTAAGTCACTAAGTCACCTGGTGTGGTGCTGCAGGATAAGCACTGAACTGACAACCACAGCGTTGGCAGTTCAAACTCACCAGCCATTCCTTGGAAACTCTCCACAGAGCTACTGTGAGTCAGTACAGACTCCTTGGCACTTAAGAACAATTAAGTGACTGAAGGACCAAAGAAAAACTTCCTTGTTTCTGAGGCAGACTAAGGACACCCAGGCTTTGTTAGTCTATGAGGTGGTGCAGGGCGAGAGGAGAAATCCCTGCCAGACAGCCTCTTGACACTTGGGTTTTGGGGGTAATGGGGGCCCATCCCTAACCTGTTCCATGAGTCATCTATCAATTATGCACCATTCCATTTGGGTTGAAAACCAGATGAAAGAGGCAAGCCCGTCTATGAACATCCCCCTCCCTGCTCGCCCCACTTGGCTGCCTGTCCTTCCAGGCTGGGGCTGTGCTGTGTTTCCCCAAGACTGAGGTTGAGAAAAGCACAGGACTTTGGGATCTGAGTGAAGTCAACGCCTCAGGGCTCTGCCTAGCCACTCGCTGACACCTGGCCTATGAGGACCACACGAATGCCCATGAGCAGCCAGATGCTCTCCTTATTCACCTGACAGTCCCTGACCTGTAGATGGGGTCTCCCTAGGGCCACAAGGCACCCCGCCCCAGCTCTTGTCCTGGGCAACTAGGACCCTGGGGGTGCAGTCCCAGAGTGATCCCCAGGAGATTGTGACCTGGGGCTGGGGAGCTGGGGGGCTTGTGAAGTCCATGGGGATCACAGGAACAGGGGCTTGGGGAGGAGGAGGACGTAGGCTCAGTTCTGGAAAACTAATCTGAAGTCAGGCTCTGCCATTTTCCCAGAACTCCTGGGCAGAGTCGCTTTATTCCTTGAAATCTTGGGGTGGGGTATGCCTACCCAACATTCCTTGTCATGAACTAAATGTCAGTTTATTAGCTGTGTGCCTTTGGTGGGCACTCACTCACCCTCTGTGTCTCAGTTTGTTGTTGTCTTTAAGTGCCATTGAGTCAGTTCCAACTCACAGCAGCCTTGTTTAGGCTTTCCAAGGAGTGGCTGGGTGGGTTTGACCCATTGACCTTGAGGTTCAAATTGACCTCGTGGTCCAGTGCATTATCCTGCAGCGCTACACCAGGACTCAATTTACTCATCTGTGAAATAGACATGTTAGAAGTTTCCTTAGTAGATGGAAGTGGAGAATGTGTGCATTAGTACTGTTGTTGTTGTTAAGTGGTGTTGAGTTGGTTTTGACCCATAGCGACCCTGTATAGGATTTCTAAGGAGTAGCTGGTGAGCTTGAACCACCAACCTTGCGGTTCAAACAACTTACACTACGAGGGGGTTTCAGAAAGTTTGTGGAGGAAATTCCGTGATCTTTTCATTCCATTTTTCCATGAACTTTTTTTTTTTTTTAATGTTTTATTGTGAATTATGTGATAATTTACATGGGAGAACATTAGTTTTACATTCATCCTATCGTATATCGTTACAATGCTATGGTTACAATCCCTTCCATGCATCATCTCCCAACCAAAGGGTATACTACAAGCCTGCCCCCGGGTCATCAGCACACAGCCCCTCTCCCTCTCTGTGTCTAAAGTCCTCAGCTGCTCCATCTCTCCACGTCGTCTCTGCCTCCATCTCAGGCATCACTGCTTCTCTGGATAGGGTCCCACTCTCTGCTCTTCTCCCTTGATGGTCCCAGGGACCTCTGCTCCTAGACTGCAAAGTTAATCCCTCCCTTCCTTGCTATAAAACATCTACCTTTACATTTCCAACCCTCACAGTCAGTCCTGATAACAATTACTCACTATTGTATCATAAGAGTCCTATCCCCGTCTCCTTTCATCAGCTCCGCCCAGACAGATTGGATACTACTCAGTGGAGATTCTACCTTCCTCTGCGCCCTCTGGATCTAGGTTCCCTCTTTAAAGCTTGTAAGCCAGTCACTTCTTGCCTTTGTAGCCTACCCACCCACCCACCTCCCATTTTGAGTAGCCAGTGTCCAAGTTGCCCATCCCTGTCCTCTCCAAGTGTTTTCCATGAACTTTTTGAAGCCTCCTTGTATAAGGAAAGTATTTTCTCAACTGTAAAAATGTCCTCTTTGGCATTAGGAGTGTTATATGCCCATGTCTGGGGGATGGAGTTATGAGCAAAGGCTGAGCTTGTCCTTTCCTTGATGGAGCTCCTGGCTCATGCGGACAATGGGTGTTAGTAAGTCCTGCAGGGTGATACAGCGATGGTGGGAACACGCACACGCACCACTGTGACCCTGGCACAGGCTCCAGGGACTGTTAGGCCTGGATAGGGAGGTCGGGCAAGGGTTTCTGAGGAAGTAGTGATGCTACACAGCTCGGATAACGCCACACAAACAGTGAGTGAGGGCCCGTCCCAGGCAGAGAGCAGCGGGTGTGAAGCCCCCAACCCCACTTTTTATAGTCAGTCCCTTGGTTATAGTCAGTCCCTTGGTGGTGGTGGCTGTGTGCTGTGGAGTTGGTTCCAACTCATAGTGACCCTGTACAGGGTTTCCGAAGCTGTAAATCTTTACAGGAGCAGAACGCCTCATCATTCTCCCGCAGAGCAACTGGTACTTTCGAACTACTGACCTTGCAGTTCACAGCTCGATTGGTAACCACTACGCTACCAGAGCTCCTTACAGTCAGTCCCTTACAGTCTGCAATTTGCAGCCTTTCTCAGGGCCCTTTTGTGGTCCTCACTGTGATCAAGTTCACGCTGTTATCTCCTCAGCACAGGTCCATGTACCGTCACCCCTACTCCTTCTGCCAGCCAGACGGAATTTCGCTGGTGTTTTTGTTTTGTTTTGCTTTTTACAGTTTTTATTGTGAATTATGTGATAGTTTACATGGGAGAACATTACCTTTACATTCATTGTATCATATATCATTTCGTTGTCATGATTACAATCCCCTCTGTGCATCATCAGCCAACCAAAGGGTATACCTGCAAGCCTGTGGTCATCAGCACACAGCCCCTCGCCCTCTCTGAGTCTTAGAATCTCCAGGTGCGCCATCTCCACATCATCCAGATGAAATTTTGCTTTATTTCATGAGATTTCAATGTGTTCTTTGTTCAAATTGTAAAGGTAACAATACTTTTTCATTTTAAAAAAACAGAAAAGATGAAAGAAGAAAACCTATGTCCTTGTTATCATACGTCATACATTCCGTACATCATCCTCGGGATGTGACTTGTTTGCATGGATTTCCTTGTAGACTTTTTTTTCCCATCATTCCTAAACAGCTGTGTTTTTTTCTCTCATTCCTAAACTTAGTCCTGGTGTGGCACTAGATCATAAGATTGATTTGATCCACAAGTTTGGCAGTTCAAACTCACCAGCCGGTCCTGGGAAATCCTATACAGGTCACTATAAGTGAGAACTGACTTGACAGCACTTAACAACAAAAACAATATAGTGGGGTCCTTGTGTAGCACTGTAGGATAAGCACTGGGCTGCTAACCACAAGGTCGGCGGTTCAAACCCACCAGCTGCTCTCAAAAACCCTATCTAAGATTGCTGTGAGTCCGAACCAACTTGATGGCAATTAACAACAAGAAACATTGCTGAATTCCTTTGTTTTCTTTTTGTTTATTAAGAATTGGGTTCACATTTCAGATCCTTTAACAGCTGATACCTTGAGAGCATTGTGCTGCACTCTAGAGAGAGGTGCAGCATCCGCCCACAGCCCCACCACCTCAAGATAATGACTTCAACGCTTGCTTTCCTCCCCAGAAATACAGACATGCTGCTGTAACTGCAAAACCACTAGTGGTTGGTTTCACCAAATTTACATTTATGTTCTCACAGTTTAGGGGCAGTAAGTTCTAATCCAGGGCAGTGCCCTCTCATAGTGACCCTGTGTAGGGTTTCCGATGGACTTTGCAGTCCAGCGCATTAACCCACGGTGCTACACCAGGACTCCTAGAGGAAGACATTCTCTATCCACTCTGGGGGAAGGACCTTGTCTTGTTTCAGCTTCTTCCCTGGTCCTTAAAGACTCAGGGATCCGTCTTCCCCATGTCTGCATGTCTCTCTCTGCCTGACCATCTTGATGTATGTCTCAAGACACACCCTACACTGAAATGGTCTCATTAGCATAGTAAAACCCTATTCCTGAATGGAGTTACATCCACAAGTGTACATACCCAAACCAAACTCTCTGGGGACATGTAGTGACCCTGTAGGACAGTAGACTGCCCCATAGGGTTTCCAAGGCTGTAAATCTTTTCAGAAGCAGACTGCCACATCATTGTCCTGGCCACAAGCTGGTTCAGTGGTTTTGGATTTTCCAGCATAATAGTAAAGTAGTACAGTAATGAATGAAAGTCATTTAACAGGAAGACCATTGTGTGAGTTGATCGCTTCTTGACCCAGTGAGTTCCCGCCCTCCACACATACCACCCACTCAGTTCCAAGCATCCAGTTGCCCCCTCTCACTTGGTCCCAAGCCTTTTACTAACCCCACATGTGACCCTAACTCCTTCTAGAGAAGCTGTCTGTAATGGGTGGCCTGTCTGAGTTTCCTTTGTGAGCCAGGACACCAGCTGTTGGAGTCTGCCATAAATAAGGTGATTGCTGAGCTCTCTCCTGCCTGGATGGTCTTTGATTCCAAAAGTCTAACGATCTGTTTTTCGGTTCTGGCCAGCTAAAGATGTGATTAAAGAAATTGAAGACTTTGATGGCTTAGAGGCCCTGCGTCTGGAGGGCAACACGGTGGGAGTGGAAGCGGCCAGGGTCATCGCCAAGGCCTTGGAGAAGAAATCCGAGTTGAAGGTGAGATTTGGCAGGACCAGCAAACCCACCTGTGTCCAGCCTGCCCTATGGTCGTCACCTCGTGCAGCTTCTCCGCCCCATAGCCAGGGCCCCTTGGGTCCTCTGGGAAGCAGACACTGAGTTGGGGTTGAGAGGAAGAGGTTTGTGGGCAACAGCTGTGAGAGGGAAAGGAGGAAGAACCAAACTGGGCCAGGAGAGCCTTCAGATCACACGATAATACCTGCAGGACTTCTGGGAGGAGGCAGTTTTAACAGACTCAGCCTGCCTTGTTCAGGGGGCCTCCACGAAAAAAATGGCCAGTCCCTAGCCCCCCTGCCACGCTCAGGACAATGGCCTCAGTGCAAGCAGATTCCACTGTGGGTAGAAAGTGCTGCAGCTGAGGGCCACCAGCTCACCACTCTGTTCTGCAAGATTAGAGCCCAGGGGTGCCCTCTGGCTGACACAAAGGGTGACTCCGAGTCCTCTCCCTGCACATCCCAAAGTGCATGTCCACACGTCCTGGGGTGGATGTCGCTGTCAGCCCTGGATGCGCAGGGTGGATTAGCAGATGAACATGTCTGTAGAGGCAGGAGATGAGAGGACCTGCTCCCCGGATTGCACACACTGTTCTTATAAGGGATGGAGCTAGGCTTGTGCTGGGCTCTCCTGCATGTGTCGTTTCATCGTGAGGGAGACATGTCGAGGGAATGGGGCTCGGGACCATGACACAAGGAAATGACCGAGCCACATTGACACACCAGGTCCAGTGATCACTCCATGGGTCCACTGAACAGGATGGAAACTGAATTTGTCCTGGGAAAGACCTTCCCTGTGGACCTGGAAAGAAACCTGGTTTAGGATGTTTAGGGAATGGTCCTCCCTGTCTGTTGCCTTAAGAAGGTCAGGGTCAGGTCCAAGGCCTAGGCAGTGACTGCTGCTCCCCTGGCCTGAGCCTGTCCTTTCCCTGAGCAGAAGCTAAGGGGCTGCTTGTTACTGCTGTTGTTGTTGGGTGTCATCGAGTCAGTGCGATCCTGCGTACAACAGACCAAAACACTGCCTGGTCCTGAGCCAGGCTCACAATCGCTGCCATGTTTGAGCCCATTATTGCTGCCCTGTGTCAGTCCATCTCATGGCTGCTCCTCCTCCTGTTCGCTGGACCTCCACTTCTCCGAGCATGAGGTCCTCCAGGGACTGGCTTGGAGGTGTGCTGAGGCTTAAAGTCTTATTTCAAAGTTAGTGGGATGGTATGAGGTCTGGGGCTGCCTAGGTCTGGGTTCTAGTCTAGATTGGAAGCCAGGGTTGTACTCCGGAACCAACTGCTTCCCAAGCATGCCGACCTGACCCTCTGTTCATCAGAACTGGGGTCAGGCTGCTTCGGAATGAGATTTCATGTCTGCTGTAAGGGACACACTCAGACCTGGCATAGACAGAGCCCACTGATCTCCTCCAAGTGTAAGGAGCCTTCAGCCAAGGCTCCGGGGAGTCAGAGTGGTTTGCTTTATAGAAAAACACATTCTCGTGTGAAACGAATACATAATGCTGAATTTACTTAATGTTAGGGGCTAGGTCTTTAGAGGAAAGTTGGGTGAATCCATCATTCCCAAAGTTGACCCTCGGAGGTTTTCTACTGGGGTGGGCAGAGCAAACCAAGTGGAAGGTAGGGCTGTGTGCCAGTAGGTCACATATAAATGGCCAGTGTGGCACATGGTCCTGCCATGCGGCCACCATCTTTGTGACATTATTTAACCTTATATTTTCTTGCTTAATGAAAGTGAAGAAGACTTAAAAATACTTAGTGTTGAATGAAGATCATTGTAAAGAAAACAAAAATCCTCAGCATTGGACCACTAAACAACATCCAGATAAATGGAGAAAAGATTGAAGTTGTCAAGGACTTCATTCTTCTTGGATCAACTATCAACACTCGTGAAGGAACAGTCAAGAAATCAGATGACGTATTGCATTGGGCAAATTGCACAAACCTCTTTAAAGTGTTGAGGATCAAAGATGTCAGTTCGAAGACTAGAGTACGCCGGATCCAAGCCATGGTATTTTCAGTAACCTTATATGCATGTGAAAGTCGGACAGTGAATAAGAAAGACCATAGAAGAATTATTGCATTTGAGTTATGGTGCTGGAGGAGAATACTGAAAATACCATGGACTGCCGAAAGAACAAACAAATCTATGTTGGAAGAAGTCCGACCAGAGGCTCCTTGGAAGCCAGGATGGCCAGATTTCTTCTCTCATACTATGGATATATTATCAGGAAGGACCAGTCCCTGGAGGAGGCTATCATGTTTGGTAAAGTAGAGGGTCAGAGCAGAAGAGGAAGACACCCAACTAGGTGGACTGGCAAAATGGTGGCAGTAACAGGCTCAGGTATAGCAACAATTGTGAGGTTGGTACAGGACTGGGCAGTTTTTTGTTCTGTTGTTCATAGGGTTGCTGTGAGTCAGTATCGACTCAATGGCACCTAACAACAAAAACAAGAATATTTTCTTTATACCAGCTTACTTTGACATCAGTTATGTTGTTAAGTGCCATCGAGTCAATTCCCACCCATTGCAACCCTGTATAGGGTTTCCGAGGAGCAGCTGGTGAGCTTTGAACCGCTGACCTTGCAGTTCAAACAGCTTTGCAGTCTGGTGCATTAACCCACAACGCCACACCAGGAAATCATTAAAGGCCAGTATAATGTGGCACTGTGGGCTAATAATCACTTTGTGTAAATGGAAAACCTGTATCTCTTAACATAAATGCAATGTAACAAAAAGAAAACAGTGTTACTAAATTCTAGTTTGGCACTGCTGGGGGCATCTGGGCCTGCTCTGGAGACAGGCCTGCTCCCTATTGAAAAAAGCAGAGGAGAAAGAAGTGGAGTGTAGGCTGGAGCTGCCAGCCCTAAATAGGCTTTCTTCTGGAGGGGGCCAGATGTTGAAAGAAACTTGAAGACGGGCCATAGCTCGTGGCTACTGAGAAGGGGTACTGGACCAGGATTCTGGTCTCCTGGGCTCAGTTCAGCTACTGCCCTGCTGTGAGGCCTGAGTTACATCTCTCTCCTCTGAATCAACTTTCTCTCCTGGGAAAAGAGAGGGTTGCTCTGATTGGGGGTGAAGGTGGGGTTCCAGGCTGAAGTCCTTAATGACTCACAGGCTTAGGGGTCTCGACTTGAGGACAGGCCTCCAGGTCTCAGCATTGCTGGGTCCAGCGTTTGCTAAGAAGTCTCAAGACCACGAGGGTCACCTCTGAGAACCCTCACCCACTCTTCTTTCCTCTTCCTCCCAAAGCGATGCCACTGGAGCGACATGTTCACGGGGAGACTGAGGTCCGAGATCCCACCCGCCCTGGTAAGTGCTGCCACCCCATCCCCAGGCTGACAGGGAGAGGTTTGGGACTGGCCCCTCCAGGTTTCTCTCACACCTTGTCCTTTCTGGAGCCTAAGATAAGCCCCCTGAGCAGTTGAAGAGCCACTGGGCAGGGAGCCAGGGCCAAGGTGGGAGCAAGTCCAGCCAAGACCAGGGGTCCCTCGGGCCACTCTCGAGCTGCATGCTGTCACTCAGTACTCCTTCTGTCTGCAGTCCCCTTCCCTGTACCCTGTGGTTCTTCTTCCCTGACGGCCACCCACAATTTCTCTGGCCCTTTCCCTGTCTCCAGACAACTATTTCCCTTGGCTGCTCATCATGGGAGGCTTCCCTTGGCCTTTGTGTTCCGGCTCCCAGCTCCGCTGTGGTAGTGTGTGCTGCAGTCAGCCTGTGGCTTTCCTGGCTCAGGGCAGTGGGTAGGGCTCAAATCAGCAGCCCCGTCAGTATGTCTCCCAGCACCAGCTAGCCCACGGTGGCCTCCATGGTGCGGGTTCGCAGTCACTGGTGTGCTGGGTGATTCTCCTGCCTCAGTCTCCCCTCTTCTGCCCCCACCACGAACCTTCTGAGTGAGCCGCTGCCCAGGGGTCCAGCAGGTGTCTGGGAGAGCTCTAGTACCTTTCCCCTAAGTCTGCTCTCACGCCATGTGTCTGGTCACCCCCAGAAGCTGGAGGCCTTGGTGGTGCCTCCTCTCCTCCCCCTGCATCTGCAGGATCTACTCCCCCAGGGGCCAGTGTGCTCTCCCACCCACCCACCTCCCATGGGCCATGGGCAGCCTGACTGAACTCAAATACTGCCTCCTCCAGAAGCCTAGAAGCCCTGGTGTCACAGGGATTAAGTGTTCAGCTGCCAGCTAGAAGGTTGGTGGTTCAAACCCACCAGCTGCTCTGAGGAAGAAAGATGTGGCAGTCTGCTTCTGTAAAGATGGCCTCTTGAACGGCAGTTCACAGGGTGGGTCTGCGTCAGAATTGACTTGACGACAGTGGGTGTACAGGACACATTTCCTGAGTGTGGCCCATGCAGGCATTGGGCTGGCACAGGAATACTGCCTGCTGGGTGTCTGTGTTCTTCATGAGGCCCTTCTGTGTCCAGACATCCCTTGGGGAGGGACTCATCACTGCCGGGGCCCAGCTGGTGGAGCTGGACCTGAGTGACAACGCCTTCGGACCTGATGGTGTGCGAGGCTTCGAGGGCCTGCTCAAGAGCTCGGCCTGCTTCACTCTTCGAGAGCTCAAGCTCAACAACTGTGGCATGGGCATCGGCGGAGGCAAGGTGGGTCCCCAGCTCCTTTTCACCTGTCTGAAGTGTGTGTTCAGCACCTCAGTCAGGCCCTCACCACCTCCTACCTAGGAGGGCTGCCTGTCATTTCTCCCTCAAAGACAGCAGCCTGTGGCTATTGGAAGAGGAGATGAAGTCTCTGAGGGTGGCGTTGCCAAGCAACCATCCCTGGATCTTGTGTTACCTAGGCAACACGGAGGCCGAGCTGCTGCCATGCTCTGACCTGCTGACTCTGCGGCATATAGGATTGGGGCCCCCAGAACTGCTGGGCTCTCAGAACATCTGGTGGAGCCCAGGGTAAGGCCTGGCCCAGTGTTCTGAGCTTTCCCTGTGCTCTGCCAGTGTGGCCGCCTGGTTAATGGAGAGGCAGCCTGCTCCTTAGGCCACCAGCTCTGATCCTTCACCTCAAGGTCATTATGACTCCTGCCCTAGTCGGCACCCCTCTCTCCCTACTATCCATACCCCAGTTTGACCCCTACTTAGTAAAAGGGAGAAAAGTGTTAAAGACACAAAGGCCAACAGCAATAGGAAACATCTTTGAAGATGGGTTGTATGCACTAGCTTAACTTGCCCATCCACATTGAAAGGTGGGTTGTCCTGTCTCAGTCAGTGTGGGCTTACAAAGGCCCACAGATCACATTGCTCATGTTATCAGGTCAGTGGGGGTGGGATTTGAACCATCATCTGTAAGGCTGGCTCCAGATCAGCAGGAATAATCCAGGAGATGTGCTTGGCAACATCTGTATCACAGGCCAAAGAGCCTTCCAGGGCCCATCCGGCCAGTCCTGTCCCAGGACATGAGAGGTGGGCTGGGCAAGGGGCCTGCACTGTCAGAGATGCTGATCTGGCTGGGCAACGTGGCCACAGCAGCACAAAACACAGGTGCAGCCCAGGCTGGGGTGTTCTGGGGAAGCCCGAACCTCATGCCTATGAAATGTGTCAGCTTCCACAGGAGGACGGCAGGGTTTCCTGTCTACATTGAGGAAACTGAGGCACAAAGAGCTTCCCTGGGCATTAAAGTAGTAGGTGTGAACTGTTGGATGCTGTGCACATGTGAGGCATGACCACTGTGCTTTCGAGCACCTTTGGGTCTCTGTACCCATCACCAGTGATGGCGTGGGATGTGGAAGACGGTTCAGAGGCCGCAGCAGTTCCTTTGGAGCCAACACCCTCCTGCCCACAGGCTGGGCTCTGCCTTGTCCCCACAGACCCTGCCCACAGGCTGGGCCCTGTCTTGTCCCTACAGATCCTGGCAGCCGCCCTGACTGAGTGTCATTGCAAGTCCAGTGCCCAAGGGAAACCGCTGGCCCTGAAGGTATTTGTGGCTGGCAGGAACCGTCTGGAGAATGATGGAGCCACTGCCTTGGCAGAAGCTTTTGGGGTGAGTGGTTCTGTGACTACCTCTGACCACTGTGGTCAGAAACCGGCTGAGCTCTGACTTCAGTCCTGCTGGGGAAATCCAGTGTGCACTTCACCAAGACGCCAGGGGGTCTATTCACCTTGGATTCCTTCACCCTCTGAACCGATTAGCCCAGCCCTCGTGTTAGTGCATGTCTGCGCTTGTGTGAGTCCCTGTTGCTCCTGCTGATGCATTGAGGGGTCTTCCCAGCTGAATCCAGGCGCAGTGGCACCAGAGCAGTGGACACACAGTCACCATATAGCCCTGGTGACCTCTGATGGTAGCCCTGGTGCCAAAACTGAACCTCCAGCCATCCCTCTCACAGCATACTTTCTGTTGGGCTCCATAATCCAGTGCAGTGGCCACACAGAACTTGGACACCATATTCACAGTTCTAAGGAAGTTCAGGGTCAGAAATGCTCAGGGCACAGTTGTCCCCACCAGCTGCTGATAAATGCCCACAGGACACACCACTCCACCACCAGACGCAGCCTGAGAGGACTGGGCCCGAGCTCTGTGGGTCAGTGTAAGTGTCCGGAGGCACCCCACTCTACAAGCAGACTTCCTTCCCAGAGTCACTCAGCTTGACTTGCTCTGTGGCCTGGGAAGTCCATGTGCTGTTGTTTCCTGCTCCGGTTCTTGGTTCTGCTGCTGCCGCTGCTCCAGTTCACAGCTTTCTGCCCCTGGGTTGAGGAGGTCCCGATATCCGGGTCCAGAGACCACACTTCACTCCTAGCTCTTCTTAGATGGTAATGAGATTCCTCCTCTTGCTTCTAAGATGGCTTCTGTTAAACCCATGCTAGGTTTCAGGTTGTATAATTACAGTGGACCCTGCTGACATCCACAGCTGAATGATGTCATCCTGTCAGTGTCTTCTCCCCTCTTACGTAGACCCAGCAGAAAGTAGACCATGACTACAAGAGATACTAGGAAATTCACCACGCTGCATCTAGAGATGAAACGGATCAGACATGGCCTTGATGAAGCCAGGGTGGGGTTGAGGCTCAACAAGCACTGGGGTCCTCGTCTCCTGCTTCTCTGCTTCTCCAACCCAGAATATATCTCTGTCCCTGGTGGTGAGCCCACGAGAGGCCACCCCACAGGGCTGAGACTTTGGAGCTTGTCTGTGTCTCTTTTCTCAGATATGCAGGGGACCACCTGATGCTTCACCTGCCCCCTGAGGCTGCAGGCCCTGTCTGCCCCCTCTGAGACAGGTCCCCAACAGCCGCTGTGCAGCCACCAGGATTTTAAGAGACCAGGACTTCACTACAGCCCTGTCCTCATGGTGCTGGGGACGGAGTTACGTGGAGCTTGGACTGAACCTTTGTAACATGTATTCTGAGGGTGGGGCTCTTCAGCTCAGGGTTTGTGAGGTCCCCAGGACGTCTGTAAATCTCGGTGGGAAATTGTGCTGTTAATCACTATCGCAGCTGAAATTCACTACAGTGAAAACCAGGAGAACCCGACTTGATGAGACTGCCTTGTTTCTCCAGGTCTCAAGTACCGCACCCTTGACAGGAAATGTCTCAACTGCTTTTCTACCTGCATTTTCCTCCACTAACAGGTTTCTGGCTTTCACAGGCTTGACTGTCTAACCTTTGAGTGTGTGTGTAGACAGTAAACCTTAGCAGCAGTAGACATTTCTGACTTGCTCACCAATAGAAAGCACAGAGGTTGTCATTATAGTCCTTGCATATATATTGTTTGTTCTTAAGTGCTATTGAAGCGGTTCTGACTCATAGAGACCCTCTGCCCAACAGAAGGGAAGACTGCCCAGTCCTGCGTCATCCTAACAATCTTTAGACTTGAGGCCCATTGCTGTTGCAGTTGTGCTGATCCATCTCAGTGGGGGTCTCCACTGACCCTCTGCATTACCAAGCATGATGTCCCTCCTGATAAGATGTCAAGAGTATGAGATGGTGTCCTAAAGAGCATTCTGGCTGTACTTCTCCCAGCACAGATTTTGGGCATTTCATGGTTCTTTTAATACTCGTCTCGAACACTGTAACTCAAATGCATTAATTCTTCTACAGATTTCCTTATTCTTTGTCCAATTTTCACATGCATGTAATACTGTTTGAAATAAGCATGGGTTAGGTCAGATGCACCTTAAACACTTAAAGAAGTCTTGTGCAGCAGATTCCTTTTCTTTACATTGAGGTACAAACCATACTGTGAAGGCTGTGGTCTTTGATCTTGATCAGTATTTTAAGTCCTCTTCACTTTCAACACGCAAAGTTGTATCATCTGCATTACATATTGCAGGTTATTAATGAGTGTTCCTCCAATCCAAATGCCACATTCTTCTTCATATAATCCAGCTTCTCAGATGATTTGCTCAGCATACAGGTTGAATCAGCATGATAAAAGAATACAGCGCTGGCACACCTTTCCTGATTTTAAATCACTCAGTGTCCTCTAGTCTAACAACCACCTCTTCGTCTATATACAGGTTCCTCATGAGCACATTGAAATGTTCTGCAATGCCCATTCTTCACAGTGTTATCCACACAGTTGAAAGCCTTTGCATAGTCAGTAAAACAAGGTAAACATCTTTTGGGTTTTCGCTGCTTTCAGCCAAAATCCATCTGATGCAATGTTATTCCTCATTCCATGTTCTCATCTGAATCCAGCTTGGGCCTCTGGCAAATTCCTGCCGATGTTCAGCTGCAGCCATTTTAATAAAATTACCTTCAGCAGAATTTTACTGGCATGTGATATTAATGATAATTGTTTGATGGTTTCCACATTCCATTTGTGTCACCTCCCTCTGGAATGGGCACAAATATGGATCTTTTCCAATCAGTTACCCAAATTTCTTGGCATAGATGAGTGAGTGTCTCCAGTGCTGCCTCAGTTTATTGAAAGATTTCCATTTGTACTCCGTCAATTCCCACAGCCTCATTCTGTCCTAATGCAGTTTGGACTTCCTCCTTCAGTGTCATTGATCATGTGCTATTTCTTGAAATGGTTGAATACTGACCATTTATTTTTGGTACAAAGATTCTCTATATTCTTTCCATCTTCTTTTGATGCTTTCTGCATCGTTCTGTATCATCGTCGTTATGTTCGGCTCTTCTCACTTCTATCTACTTTAGCATCTCTACACTGGAGAGCAAGTTTCAGAGTTTCTTCTGACATGTATTTTGGTCTTTTCTTTCTTTATTGTCTTCTTAATGACCTTTTGCTTTCTTTCTATATGATGTTCTTGATGTCATCCCACAACTCTTCTGATCTTTGGTCATTAGTGTCTTGTGCATCATTTTTGAGATGATCTCTAAATTCAGGTAGGATATGTTCAAGGTGGAAAAGCTCCATATCATCATCCAGGAAGACTGTAGAAGAATTCATGCCTTTGAGTTGTGGTGTTGGAGAATATTGAAAGTGCCAAGGGCTGCCAAAAGAATAAACAGATCTGTGTTGGAAGAAGTACAGCCAGAGTGCTCCTAGGAGGCCAAGATAGACAAACTTCATCTCTCATATTTTGGACATACTGCCAGGAGGGACCAGTCACTGGAGAAGGATATCCTGTTTGGTAAGGTGGAGGGTCAGAGAAAAAGAGGAAGACCCCCCAGCAAGATGGAATGGCCAAGTGGCAGCATCAACGGACTCAAGCATGGCAACAGTAGTGAGGTTGGCCCAGGATCGGGCAGTGTTTCGTTCTGCTATGCGTAGGGTCGCTATGGGTCGGTACTGACTCAATGGCACCTAACAACTACAACAATTACCACAGATGTAGTCAATTTGATTTCTGTGTGTTCCACCTGGTGATGTCCATGTGTATAACGTTGTTTTAAAAAGATAGAGTAAGTCATTGGTCTTGCAAAATTCTACCATGGGATCTCCAGCATCATTTCTATCACCAAGGCCATATTTTCCAACTATTGATTCCTTTGTTTCCAACCTTCACATTCTAATCACCAGTAATTATCAATACATCTTGATTTAATGTTTATCAGTTTCAAATTAAAGAAATTGGTAGCTTTCTTCAGTTTCATTACTGGCTTTAATGGTTGGTGTGTAAATTTGAATAGTGGCATTAACTGACCTCACTTGTTGTTGTTAGGTGCCATGGAGTCGGTACTGACTCATAGTGACCCTATGCACAACAGAACGAAACACTGCCTGTTCCTGGGCCAACCTCACAATTGTTGCCAAGCTTGAGCCCATTGATACTGCCACTTTGCCAATCCATCTTACTGGAGGTCTTCCTTTTTTTCTCTGACCCTCCACCGTACCTAACATGATATCCTTCTCCAGCGACGGGTCCCTTCTGACAATATGTACAAAGTATGAGAGATGAAGTTTGGCCATCTTGGCCTCCTAGCAGCACTCTGGCTGTACTTTTTCCAAAATGGATCCATTGGTTCTTTTGGCAGCCCATGGCACTTTTCAATATTCTTGAACACCATAACTCAAAAGCATTAATTCTTCTACCGTCTTCCTTATTCACTGTCCAGCTTTCGCATGCATATCAGGTTACTGAAAATACCATGGCTTGGGTCAGGCGCACCTTAGTCTTCAGGTATATGGATATTACCTTATCACGGACAGTGTAATATCCACTTCAAGACAGATCTTGATGCGTTCTTTAAGGATGAATGCAGTGCCATTCCTCTTCAATTTGACATTCCCAGCATTGTAAACCATGTGATTGTCTGTCTGGTTCAAAATGGCCATTTCAGCTCACTAATAACCTAGGATATCGATCTTTGTGCTTTCCATTTCATTTTTGAAAACTTCCAGTTTTTCTAAATTAATACTTAGTACATTCCATGTTTCAATTCTTGGTGGCTGATTAGTTATTTCTTTTCATTTTGAATTGTGCCCCATCAATAAATGAAGGTCCTGAAAGCTTTACTCCATTCATGTCATGACAGCCAACTCTGCTCTGAGGAGGCAGCTCTTCTTCCCCAGTTGTATTTTGAGGCCTCCCAACCTGAGGGCTCGTCTTCCAGCACTCTCTCTGATAACATCCTGGTGTTTTTCGTAATGTTTTCACCTTCCAGCACTCTAACAGCGTTTATGTTCCTTACAACCTAACAATTGCAGTCAGTCATGAAACACCCCTAGACGTGTTACTTAGTGCAGGAAGTGTTGCTGTCACACGCATTATGGTTTGAATATTTTGATAACTGTCCTCCAGTTTAGGTGACTTGCTTTTGTAATCCTGCATAGTTTTGAACTTGAAGATGTTAATATCACGTTGTGGGCTTCTCTAGAGCGCCTGACATAGATGCCCTACCATGTCACGGTCCTTAGCTGACTACCTGTTTGGGGGGACCCCACACACTGTCTTGGGGCCACAGGGACTACAAAGGCCCTGCCTGTGCTTAGTTCCCATTTTGTGCAGAGTAAACCCCTGCAAGCTGATGCTGTCTGCCCTCCTGCCTCCTGGGACTCGTCCCCACACAGCTCATGGCTCTCTCCACCCTCGCAGATCATCGGGACTCTGGAGGAAGTCCACATGCCGCAGAACGGGATCAATCACCCCGGTGTCATGGCCCTGGCCCAGGCTTTCGCCATCAACCCTCTGCTGCGGGTCATCAACCTCAATGACAACACCTTCACGGAGAAGGGGGCCGTGGCCATGGCTGAGGTGAGGCAGCACCTGGGCGGGCTGGGTGTGGCTGCTACCTGTGCAGGTGTGCAGAGCCTGGTGGGCAGGTGGCTGCTCCCCTGTCCTTGTCTGGCATCACCACAGTCCAGCTGGACTGTGTCAGAATAGCATGGTCATCATAGCTGTTGGCACTGCCTTCTTCCTGAGCTGGGCCCGGCTCCTGTGGTTCTGCCCGTTGACGCTGCTTTGAGTCTCGGGCTGCATGGCCCCATCTGTGTCTCCTTTATTCATTTGGCATCAGTTGGTTGAGGCCTCTTAAGTGATAGGAAGCCATGAGCAGGATGTGAGAGGGTCACATGGCCTCAAGAAGGGGGTTCTGGCTGTCAGGGGTGCTGGCTGGTGGCTGGAAGGCCAACAAGGAAGCGGTGAGCAGGGCTGAGGTGCCAAGGAACCACATACAGAAGAGGCAGGGTGTGGGGATGGTTGGGTATGATCTGGCTGGGCCCCCCTTGGGCCTTGCGCCTCACCCTGAACCCTCACTTCCTCTCTGCAGACCCTGAAGACCCTGCGGCAGGTGGAGGTGATCAACTTTGGGGACTGCCTGGTGCGCTCCAAGGGTGCCGTGGCCATTGCAGGCGCTGTCCGGGGGGGCCTCCCCAAGCTGAAGGTACCTAGAACTGTTCTCTCCAGGCACCAGGAGTCCCCCCCATGTGCTGGAGTCGGGGCGGGGGGTCTCATGTGTAAAGGCAGATGGACCTGGGCTCACCGCCCAGTTCTTCTACCTCCTGGTTCGGCTTCTGGACAAGTCTCTGCCCATCTGAGCCCAACTTCCTGCATGAGATCATGAGGTTCGGTCTAAACAGATTTCACCGTCTTCTGGGCAATGCCAGAAGCCTTGATGCATTAGGCTGCTGGCCGTAATGTCAGCAATTCAGCCACCAGCTGTTCCAAGGGAAGAAAATGAGGCAGTTTGCTTCCCTAGAGAGTTAGTCCCAGAAACCCTAAGCAGTTCTACTCTCTCTTGTTGGTTTCTGTGAGTCATAATTGACTTAACAGCAGTGGGTTGGGTTTGGGTTTGGATGATACAAGAGGACCCCTGGTGGCAGTGTGGTTAAGTGCTCAGTTTATAACTAAAAGGTCAGGAGTTTGAGCTCACCAGTCACCCTGTGAAGAAAGGTGTGACTGCTTTGGAACCCTGAGTCCCCATGAGTCAGAGTCCACAAGACGACAGTTTGAGTTTGGGGCGGTGCTTATAGTGAGCCTGCTGCCAGCTGAAAGGTTGGGAGATTGTGCTGATGCAGAGGCACCTTGGTCTGCTGCAGAAAAGTCACCTCCTGATAATCCTGTGGAGCACACGCTTCTGCTGACACACGTGGGTGGGGTCGCCATGGGTCTGACCAGCGTGCTGACAACTGGGTTTGAAACACGTTTGGTACCTGGCATGTTGTTGGCTGATTTGTGGTAGTAGTAGTAATGGTATTCCCACCCCCTTGGCCCGGGAAACTGAAGCTTATGCTAAGGCCTGGTCACCTGGCCAAGGTTTCTGACTCCCACCACCCCTTCCTCTTTATCTTTAGGAGCTGAACTTGTCGTTCTGTGAAATCAAGAGAGATGCTGCTCTGGCTGTTGCCAAGGCCATGGGGGACAAGACTGAGCTGGAGAAACTGGACCTCAATGGTAGTCATGGCAGGGGTGGCCTGGAGCAGGCCTTGGTGCTGGTAGGGGGCACCAGCCCATCCCCACGACTGGCCCTGGGTCCCATCCTGACACTCGGTTCCCTCCCATGAGCAGGCAATGCCCTGGGAGAAGGCTGTGAGCAAGTTCAGGAAGTTCTGGAAGGCTTCAGCATGGCCAAGGTGCTGGCGTCCCTCAGGTATGGCTCAGACTGTGCCTTCATCTGATTCTTATACTTGTCTGTAAACGTCCCCTGAGCCTTTGATGTGTGCCAGGTGCTCTGGTAGGTTCCTGCCCTCCCAGAGCTCTCTGCTGGAGTGGGTGGGCTCACAGTCCTCTGCAGGGCACCTGTGGTCTGATCTGAAACAGGTCTGGTCAGACACGCTGTGACAGAGACGGTGGTGGTGGGTGGCAAGCAGGCTTTCAAAGGGCTGGCACTCAAGATGGCTTTTAAAATCAGCCTGTTTCAGTCCTGCTGACGGGAATGATCCAGTAGAAAGGAAGAGATTCTGGGAGAGAGTGGAGGTCCACACATAGGGATGGGATGAGCAGAGGGGATTCTGTTCAGTCCTCAATCTTTTTCCTGAGGCCCCGCTAATCACCATGTTGGCTTTGTCTGATTGTTTCATGTAGCTGTGTCTAGGTACCAGGCCCTGAGCTGCCTTTGGGGGTGGGGATTAATGGGGAATGACACTTCAGGAGCTACCCATAGCTTCCCTGTGCTCAGTCCTGGTGGGATTCCTTACAGCCCCTGGGCCCCAGCTGAGAAGCAAGCCTTCCTTTTCTCTGTTCCCAGTGAGCTGAGGGCTCGCTCTCTTGGGACAGGGACAAGATGATGATTCTTGTCTGTAGCCAGGCTTCTCTGAGGACTAGATCATGAATGGTGGCTCTCCAACCCCCCTCCATGGGAGCATGGACTACCCCCACCCCCACCCAGGCCCCCTCCTATCTGGCTGGGCTCACACTGGGCCTTTAAGCCACTAGGCCCAGAAGGTGTGCTTTAGCCAACTCCATTCTGCAGTGATGATGAGGGGGAGGATGATGAGGACGAGGAGGAGGAAGGGGAGGAGGACGAGGAGGAGGAAGAAGAAGATGAGGAGGAAGAAGAGGATGAGGACGAAGAAGAACCACAGGTGCACGGGCAAGGAGAGGAGCCGAGCACACCCTCAAGGAAGATTCTAGACTCGAATATTGGCGTGAGTTTCTCACTGTTTGCCAGGATCAGAGCCTTAATTCCCTGAATACCAAACCCTGAGATGTCTTGTTGTGTGTTGGGGGGGATGGGGGCAGGGGGAGATGGGGAAGAGTGAGGTGTGGAATTCACCGAATAAGTGCATAAAATCAACTTTTATGATTTACAAACTCCTGTAAGTGGGGAGGAATGTGCGTGGCAGCTGCTTTCCACTGGAGCAAAGTGTGGCAGACAGTCTGATTTCATAAAGATGATTTCCTTGGACCCCCTCCCCTCCGGCCAGTATGTCCCTGTCCTGTAGCGTCACTACAACACAGAGTCTGCTTGATGGGATGGCTGTGGGCTGTGTTCTATGAGTTCACAGGAGCCATGGTGGTGCAGTGGTTAAAATACTTGGCTGCTAACTGCAAGGTCAGTGATTCGAACACACCAGCTGCTCCTCAGGAGAAAAGATCTGGTGACCTGTTTGTGTAACGTTGTATCCTAGGAAACCATCTGTCCTGCCGTGTCACCGTGAGTCAGAAGTAACAAAGGAAAGTACCTCATATAGTTCTATTTTACCTATATTTGTATACCCCAATATGTTGTTGTTAAGTGCTGTCGAGTCGATTCCGACCCATAGCGACCCTGTATAGGGGTTTTTAAGGAGCAGCTGGTAAGCTTGAACCACCAACCTTGCAGTTCAAACAACTTTGCAGTCGATGCATTAGCTCACAGTGCCACACCAGAGCTCTTTACTCCAATATTGTTGTTGTCAAGTGCCATCGAGTCGGTTCCAACTCACAGCGACCCTGTAATAGGGTTTCCGAGGCTGTAAATCTTTATGGGAGCAGAAAGCCTCATCTTTCTCCCATGGAGCAGCTGGTAGTCTCGAACTGCTGACCTTAAGGTTCGCAGCCTGATTCATAGCCACTACGCTACTAGAGCTCCTTTATAGTTACTTATAAATTTAGACTACTTAATAAGTTACAGTAATGCTACCAATATTATGTAGACTATAAAACATTCTTAAATACGTACTTTTAAAAGAATTTGTTGTGGTTAAGTCAGCTCCGACTCATAGCGACCCTCTATAGGGTTTCCATGGAGCAGCTGGTGGGTTTGAACTGCCTGTGGGTGGGTTTGAACAGTCCAGTGCTGATCCTACAGCTCCACGCCATGAGTCCTAAAGGCATCAGGGTAGGGAAACTGAAGTAAATGGCAGTTCTGATAAAGGTTATCCCACCTACCACATGATTACCTTGCCTCCCTGTGGGGAAAGCCCCCTCTGTGGGGGCAATGGAAGGACACTGGGCAGCCCTTGCCCAGGTTCCCGCATCCCTGTTCCCTCACAAGTCCTGTTGTAAAGCTCCAGGAGGACTGTGGGTTGGACTGAGGACTCCCCACCTCACGGTGCATTTGCCTCATTCCCACTTTACGGAAGCAGTTAAGCGAACGGCTAGGCAGTCCTGCTCTAGCGTTGTTCTCTGGGCACTGCTGGTGCTGGCTGGTACTGCTTACCCATGTGCCCCAGGTGCCCCGTCATTTCTGGGGGTTGCACGTCCGTGAGATCCTCTTGGCAGTGCCCAGCTCGTTGAATCCCAGGGAGGGCCAGCACCTGTGCCCCTCCTCCTGGGGAGTGGGGTCAGAATTCTGGACTTGGCATCAAACCTGAGAACTGAGGCGCAGGGTTCTGTGGGTAGGGCTGGGCAGAGTTTGGGAGGAACCTAGGGTTTGGTGCTCCAGAGCACCCCCATGCCATGCTGCCTGTTTCTCAGGAACCAGCTCCTGTGCTGTCCTCCCCACTCCCTCCGGACGTCTCTACCTTCCTCGCTTTCCCCTCTCCAGAGAAGCTGCTGCGTCTGGGACCCAAGAGTTCCGTGTTGATAGCCCAGCAGGTAACAGCCTGGCCAAGCCCACTGCTGCCTTCTGAGAGTGCTGAGAAAGGGGGCAAGTTGTGGGAGAGGGGCTGAGGGGGCTGCTTTAACATAAGAACTTGTAAGTGAGCGTGGCCCCCGGGAGATTGTGCCCTCATGGCAGTCTCCATGGCTCTCTCATCCCCTCAGACCGACACGTCTGATCCTGAGAAGGTGGTCTCTGCCTTCCTGAAGGTGTCTTCGGTGTTCAAGGATGACACCACCGTTAGGACTGCGGTGCAGGACGCAGTAGGTAATGTGGGCGGGCAGGGCCCAGAGGGCTTGGTGCTTCTCCCGGGGAATGTCGCCTGGTTCCCGTCATCCTGTGCTTTGGCGCTAGTGTGCAGACCACTGCCTGGAGAGAGCAGAGGGTCATGTCTGAAGGTCCCATGGATAGAGACCTGAAGAGTTCCTCTGGCAGAGGTGGAGAGCTGAACCTCCATCCCCACCTCTGTACACGTGGGCACCTTGGTCACTTTAATGGGAGGTCCCCATGTGGAGGATGCTGCCTCTTTCACAAGACCTCCCTGGATCTTGTTTCCACTTCCACCATGTCCTGTGGTGGGCAGACGCTGTGGGAAGTGTGGCTGGTCCAGATGAGAGTCTGCAGGTCTACCTGGCATCCTACCTCCATGGGTTTTTGTGGAAAGAAGTTGCCAGAATTGTTTTTCTGGAACAGCCTAGGACACAAACAAGTGCCCCTGGCCAGGCCTTCAGCCCCCATCCTGCAAAGCATCTGAAACTCCCCAGTGGGGGCTGCCTCAACTTCCCCTTCACCCCTGCAGGGCCTGGTGGGTACAGTGAACCCGTGTCTGTAACTCACCTCCCTCTGGGCACTTCTTACAGATGCTTTAATGAAGAAGGCCTTCAGCTCATCCTCCTTCAACTCCAACGCCTTCCTCACCAGGCTCCTCATTCACATGGGTCTGCTCAAGGTGAGGCTGGAAGGAACAGGGACCCAGAGAGAGGAACCAGAGCTGCTCCCTCCTCACTGCCTCCCCACCCACAACCTCAAGTTCTGTCACCCACACTTAGTCCCTGGGGCACTCTGACTCAGCTTGACCTCGGCGGAGGGCGCTGTTGCAGGTGGTCACTCCTAGAGCCTTCTGCTTTGCTCTCCCTTCAGAGTGAAGACAAGATCAAGGCCATTGCCAACTTGTATGGCCCCCTGATGGCTCTGAACCACGTGGTGCAACAGGACTACTTCCCCAAGACCCTTGCTCCCCTCCTGCTGGCCTTCATGACAAAGTGAGTGTGCCCGTGTCGGTGTCACTGGCTGGCCCTGTCAAGCAGAGCCCCTCCAGCCAGCCTTAGACTTCGGAGAGACTGCTGGATCATGAAGTGCCTGCTGAGTCTCACCTACCCCCGGAGTCTCCCCTTTGCCCAGTTGGGGGCGTAGGGCTCACAATCCCCACTGTCCAGATAAGGAAGCCAGCCCCCACGTCGGTTAAGGAGCTTTACATGGTGGAACACTAGTAAGAGGCCAGGTCCGTGTCTAGGCCCAGGTGTGAGGGTGTTGATCTGAGTTCTGCATTCATTGTGCCCTCTGGGAGCGCTCTGTCCCCTATGTCCTCCCTGAGCCATGTGTGACCTTCAGATGACCTGATGCCTCAGGTATTGGGTAAGATTGGCCCCCTTCCGCACTTTGATGGCACACAACGTGAGTGGACTTGGGGCCATGAGTGGAGGCTGCGGGGAGAGCAGGGCCCAGCTGATGCCAGTCTCCTCTTTCCCTGTCACATCCACGTGTTCACTGCACACTCCCTAGCAACTGACAGGCCTTTAAAGGTACAGCTGACTGACATGTTCCTCTGCCAGAGCCCTTACCTCATGCGAGACCCACCTTCCCCAAGTCTGTGCCAATGGAGGGTGATCCTGCCTCAGCCTCCGGCTTAGCCCACGCTGCTTAGGCCCCTACCCGCCACCCACTGACAGAGCCTCTGTCACCTTCTCCCGCAGCATGTCAGGAAGCCTTGTCTTCGCTGCTCTCTGTGCAGCTGGTCTTCTCCCATTCCCCGTGGAGTGGTTATCTCCTTCCCCCTCAGGTGACTAGGTGTGTGGTGACATGCATCAGCCCTCAGCTCCTGGTTGGCTGCTGGGGGTGCCAAGCCTGCTCGGGACCAGGCTGTGTCCATGGGGCAGCAGTCACAGGTGCCCTCAGTGCTGGTCCCTGCCCCACCCCACTCCCCACTCACAGTCAGCTGACAACCTCCATGTACCAAGGCGCTCGTGGGGCCTGAGTGACTACTGAAGGCTCCTGGGTCCTGTGCCAGCTGGAGGGGTCGTTGGAGAGGCTGTCTGGCAGGAAGGAAAAGCTCAGGGTCCCACCTGGTGACCTGTGTCCTGGCCCCAGCTCTCAGAGACTCCTGTTCCCCACACACACATACATGGATGGACTGCTATCTCCAGAGCAGTCATTGTAGAATTAGGAAATGGAGTTGGGCACCGTTCAGGCCTCAAAACCAGGCCCCACTTCACAGTCAGGGTCCACACCCGGCTGGAGTCTGAGCCCTGGGGTCCCCTCACTGATCCCTTTCTCCCTGCAGGCCCAATGGCGCCCTGGAAGCCTGCTCCTTTGCCCGCCACAACCTGCTGCAGACGCTGTACAAGGTCTAGACGCAGAGCCAATCTTTCCTGTCCCTGGGTCTGGACAAACAACAGCTCAGCCCCTTCCTCAGACAGGACTCCGGCTAGAGGCGAAGAGGGTCTCTGTCTCGTGTGTCTGTTGTCCCCGAATGTGCTGTGTGGGTGCTTGGGTGGTGTGTGCTTCCTGTCGGGGTTGGGGTTTTTTATGTCTCCCTGCTGGACTGGCCCTGCTCCCACCTCAGAGGAGCTGCCCTCAGGGGCAAGGGCAAGACTTGCTTGCTGCTCCATCATTAAACTCACAGCCATTTGAGGCACTCTGCTCATCTGTGCCTCAGGGTCCAGGCCCTGGTGGCTACCTCTGCCCACCTGATGGCCCCCAAGCCTAGGAGTTTCTGTCTGGCCTACCCTGCCTGGGACACTCAGTCGCCAGCTGTCTCTGCTCCCTGTCACCAAGCCCTGCCTGGCCCATGGCAGTCCCATTCCACTGTCCCTCCCTGCTGTGTGGACCGCTCACCTAAACAGGAGAGACTGCCCAGTGGGGCACAGAGCATGTCACAGAGTACACGCCTTGTTTATTGGAGACCCAGTGCCCTTCCCCAATGCTGAAGGAGAGTCAACAGGCCTCGGGTGAGCTTGCAGGCCGCCCTGACAGGCCTGGGCTCACTCTTCACCTGAGAGTGGCAAGGCCCCTGGTGCTCCCTGGAGCAGGGTGAGCTAGGGACTGAACTGGACAGAAGATGCCCTGGGCCCCCCAGGCTTTCCCCGTGACCTCTATGTGTCTGGGCTATGCCCAGGGCTTCAATAAAGTCATGTGTGGCAGCAACAAATGGAGACTGAGGAAATTCCATCACCGTGAGTGGGGTATCTTTGGCCCCCCTGTGGGCGTGTCCTCCCACAGCTGGGAAGCTGGGCCTGGATAGGTGAATGGACCCCCTCAGCATCCTCCCCCTTCTCATCTGACTAGCCGCCTTTGGTGTGGACCTGCTGAGCTCTCTGCCCAGATTTTGCTACAAGCCTTGACAACTGTGGTTAAGAGCCCCTGGGTCCTTTGCTCAGTGTCCTTCCCTACCTTTGTCAGTGATGTGAGGATGGCTTAATAGACTCTCATCTCTCCCCACCCGAACCAGCATGCACAGAAGCCTGTTTCCTTCCTGGGAATGAGGGTCCCACAAAGGGTCCTTTGGGGACAGCCCCCAGACTCCACTTGGTCAACATGTTTCCTGCCTAGCAGTTGGGGAAGATGCTGGGACTGTGTGGTTGAACCAGGAGGAGGCAGATGGAGGACTGGCCAACTCCAAGGCCAGGTTGGTTGCTTTGCCAGGAGACCCAACAATTGTGCGATGTTGGGAAATCTGTCACTTGTTTGGAATGCAAGAACTGAGTTCAAGTAGGACTTCTTGCAGGTGAAATCTGCCAAATGTACAAACAGGTCCTCAGCCGAACAGGAGCTCCTGCAGAGTGGCTAGTGGCTTCCATCTGTCCGTCTTTCAATTACAGCCAACTGCTTAACCACTGTTAGTACCATGGCTCCATCCAAGAGAACCAACCACCTCATTTAACCTCATGATGACAGTCCCATAGAGCCTGGCAGGTTGATTCACATACTGTGGTCACAGGAGTGGAGACCCTGGCTGCCTGACCACACCTCAGCCCTTCAGACCAACCCCAGGGCAAGTCATCTGGTGGTTACCACCTGTGAACTTTCCACTCTGACAAAGCTTTATAGTCTTTGGAAATCCCCCAGACTCAGGCTTACACTCTCCCTATTGCTCTATACTCCCCAAGGACTCAATGCCACCCTAACATCATACATGGAGCCATGATGCTGAGTCGTAAGGATCATAGCTCTCTGGCCTCAGAGCTCAGCCCAAAGACTCAACAGCAGTTTCCACTCTTAGGTATGTGCTCTAGACTAGACATGCCAGAGAGTTTGATCAGGAATACGCCTAGTAGAACTGTCCATGCCTAGAAATACACATGGCCAACTAAAGGAAACTGGATTCTGTCATGATTGTTAAGTGCCTCATTGAGTTGGTGCCAACGTATAGGGACCCTGTATAGGGTTTCTGAGGAGTAGCTAGTGGGTTTGAACTGCTGACCTTGTTCTCAGGCCAGTGCTTATCCAGTAGCGCCACAGCGTGAGTTTGGCATGACCTAAAAATTTCAGATGAACTGGGTTATCTGAGACTAGAGGACTCCCTGAGATTCTTGGCCTTGAACCAAAACTTTAACAGAAAAAGAAATTACCCATTAGCGATTGATGCTCAACTTAGAAAACCTTATGTATGTGAGCAGGTCAACATTGAATCTAAAGCCAATGTAAGAAGATAAGGGGAACAGGGAAACTACTGGAAATGGACAACTGGAACACAATCTGAAAATGTCACTGATGTCATTGGTCAATTTGTATGGAAATTCAAGTGGAAATGTGTCTAGACTTTCACCCAAAACATATATATTTTTAAACCTTATTGACTATAGCTACATGCTTAACATGTTGAGTGAAGAAACTCCAGCCTTTAATTAAAAAGCAAATGAGAGATTTTTGCTGCTTGGATGCAAAGTGAAAGTCTGAGAGAGTCCAGACACGACCTGCTTCCATTCGCCGCACAGCTCTGAGTGAGCGAGAGGATCTGGCGGAGCAGGCAGAGAAAAAAGTAAAGAAAGCAGAGATGCTTGTCTTCAGCCTATAACTGGAATACCTTAAAGGGTTCTACAACTTGCTCAGTGAAATGGCCTCTTGCAGAACCTTTGCAGTGTATAGGACCTTAGGTGGAAGCCTGAACCCCATCCAGAACCTTCTGAGGTGGGACATTCCCACTTGAAAGGACAAGCAGACCAGCCTGGAGCAGCTAGAGCAACAGAAGAGACATCTTCAATGAAAGATCATCAGGAAGACCCAAAACAAAAATGTCATCATGACTGGCTACTACAAGAATAAACAAATTGTTCACCAGGAAACCATTAAGGCAAGCAATCAAGTTCCTTCAGGACAAACTCCCCTCTAAGACTGGAACTCAAATGGGAGCACGTGAACAGGCATGTAAACATGCTTGCTGATGAACACATTAGTCTACTGGTGAGTGGAAGAGGAGGAAAGGCAGCAGTGAAAAAATGGGATGAGTTCAAACACAGTCCATCAACTCCCATTGACCTGGAGATCAGTATCAACGGTAGATAGGGACGGGCAACTTAGACATTGGCTACCTAAAATAAGGGGGTGATAAAGTCATCAAGTAACTGGCTTACAAGGTTTCAAGAGGGATTTTAGTTTAAGCATATGTGGGGGAAGATAAGAGTCCCCAGTGAACAGTTTTCATCTTATCTACATGGGTCTTGTAAAAAGAGATGGGGGATAAGATTCTTATGATTCAATAGTAATTGTTACCATGACTAATTGCAACTGTCACAATTGTAAAGGTAGACGTTTTCAACAAAAACTGGGGAGTTGTTCCCATGTGAGTAAAGTTTTACTAAAGGTAATAAAGAAATGGCTGCAAGCATACATTGACAGAGAACTTCCAGAGGTTCAAGTGGATTCAGAGGAGGCCGTGGAATGAGGGATATCATTGCTGATGTCCGATGGATCTTGGCTGAAACCAGAGAACATCAGAAAGATGTTTACCTGTGCTTTATTGACTACGCAAAGGCTTTTGAATGTGTGGATCATGACAAGCTATGGACAACATTGCAAAGTGTGAGTATTCCAGAACACTTAATTGTGCTCATGGGGAATCTGTACATGGACCAAGAGCAGTTGAAATGGTTTAAAATTAAGAAAAGTGTGCTACAGGGTTGTATTCTTTCACCATACTTATTCAACCTGTATGCTGCACAAATAATCTAAGAAGCTGGGTTATATGATAAAAATGTGGCATCAGGATTAGAGGAAGACTCATAACAACCTTCAATATGCAGATGATACAACCTTGTTGGCTGAAAGTGAAGAGAACTTAAAATACAGCCTTCAGTATCGATTGCATCTCAATGTAAGGAAAACAAAAATCCTCACCTCTGAACCAATAAACATCATTCTTATCAATGGAGAAAAGTTTTCTTGAAGTTGTCAAGGACTTCATTCTTGGATCAACTATCAACACTCATGGAAGCAGAAGTCAAGAAATCAAACGATGTATTGCATTAGGCAGATCTGCTGCACCAGACCTTTTTAAAGTGTTGAGCAAAGATGTCAGCTTGAGGACTAAGGTGTACCTGACCCCATCCATGGTGTTCTCAATAACCTCATATGCATGCGAAAGCTGGACAGTCAATAAAGAAGACCATAGAAGAATTGAAGTATTTGAGTTATGGTGTTGGAGGAGAATATTGAAAGTGCCATGGGCTTCCAGAAGAACCAATAGATCTGTTTTGGAAGAAGTGCAGCCACAGTGTTCCTAGGAGGCCAAGATGGCCAAACTTCGTCTCTCATACTTTGAACATACTGTCAGGAGGGACCAGTCAGTGGAGAAGGATATCATGTTTGGTAAAGTGGAGGGTCAGAGAAAAAAGGAAGACCCCCAACAAGATGGATTGGCCAAGTGGCAGCATCAATGGGCTCAAGCATGGCAACGATTGTGAGGTTGGCCCAGGACCCAGCAGTGTTTTGTTCTGTTGTGCATAGGGTCACTATGAGTCGGTACCGACTTGGTGGCACCTAACAACAAGTTAATCTTAGTTAGGAAACAGAGGACCCTAGGACCACAAGCAGAATGTGAGACCTTATCCAGAGAAGCAGTGGCACCAGAGATGGGGACATTGAGGAAGGGAGCAGCAGGGACTGAGAGCTGGCGGCCAGGAGGCAGACTTGCAGTGTGCCCTTTGGTCGTGTAAATTATTGTATATGCCTGAGTGTTTTTTGTTTGATTTTTAAAAAGCTAAAATGAATAGAGAGAAATGCTGTTAACTGATGGTACGTGGAGGGGATTATAATCATTGTAGTGAAACAAAGTATATGATTTGCTGAATGTAAACTTTCACTCAATTCACAATAAAAACTTTTTAAAAGAAAAATAACCGCGATGATGTTGGCAGTTGAAGAAGGAATTGGTTACATATAAAAATGTAATTAGGGCTAGAAATAAAAATATAATTAGGGCTTCTGAGCAATAACTGACAGTATTGAACCCAAACTGAAAAAGGTCGAGACTCAACAAAAGTTAATGTGTTATGGCATTCTGGATGTACTAGACAAAATCCTTTATTTCCACAGCTAACACTGGCGAGTTTTGTAGTACCACAGGCATCTGGCTGAATTTGCCACAGGGAATGAGGAGGAGGCTGCGGAGAGCAGCCTGGTGGTTTATAAAGCTGCTAGTAAGGTTGCAATGGCAGAACTTCTAACAACACATCCCATTCCCTTAGGTCTTGCTCTCAATTTTTCTGTATTTCTTAATTCCCTTGACTGTGTCCGCAGGTTAGCAAAAGCAGCTTTTGATGATGCAGATGCAGGGTGGATGTTCTACGTGAAGCAAGCTTTAAGGATTGGGCATGCCGTTGTCACATGATCGTCTGACAGTGGTGCTCGTAGTTGCAGGGTGCTAGTGAAGAGCCAAGCAAAGACACGCTGCAGAAAAACGAAAATCAGTGATTGCCCCATCCCATCCCACGGAAAGTCCCTGTCGTCACTGAGAGCCACTAAATTTGACTTTTGCATTTGGTCTCAGAATTTAGGTTCCTGCCCTGTTGGGGTTGGTTGGTTTGCCATTCTGTACAGTTTTCAAAATTCTTAAAGGCAAGAGTGAATTTCTGTGGATTTTACTGTTTCTTTAAGAGGCTAACAGGACTGCATATTTACCAAGATCTGGGGCAGGATCACCATTAGAGATGGAAATTACATCCGAAAGCCATTAGAGTTTTAAGTGTTCCAAACATCTAAGAGAGAGGTTAATTACACTGTATAGAGGCTTATGTGGTAACAGTTTTCCTTTCTCTACTTATTTAATTTTGTACCAATGTTTAAAATGAATTGGCTGTTAATTTGAGATAGTTAAAGGTTGTTTGGGGGAGTTTCTTGTCTGTTTTGCTGCATCAAAGTGTTTCAAATTCTGCTGAGATTTTGCTGAAAAAGCACAATGCTGGTAACAGTTCAAGGATCTGGTTGCTCATTCTAGACTATTTTCTCTCTCTCTGAAGCAGTTTAGTATTGAAGGTGGTATAGAAAAACCTGCCCTTCACTGGCTCTTTCTTCCAGGACATTTAAGTCGAAGCTCAGTTGTACTACTGGAGTTCTGTCTGGAGCCACAGATGGAAAATCTGTATTGTTTTTACTGAAACACAGTATGGAATTAACATTAAATAGGAACAAAACAAATCTACATTTAAAGTGCCAAAAAATACAAATGAAAAAGTAAACAACATAAATTCAGGTATACATAGGATAAGCTCTCAACTTGAAGGCAGCTAGCAACAGGACTACTGGTGTGGGGTGGTAGGATCAACACTGGACTGTGGACCACAAGGTTGGTGATTCAAACCCACCATCTGCTCCTTGGAAACCCTATAGAGGGTCACTATGAGTTGGAACCAACTTGACAGCACTTAACAAGATGCCAGGGGCTGGGTGAGGGGGAGCCCCAGCCTAGGACCACATAGAACCTGGGAGGGGGTCCAGGTCACTGAGGTCAGTCAGGCACCTCCCTGCCTTGGGCCAACCACTTTGGCCACCTGGACTAGGACCTCAGACCTGGGCTGCCTTCCTGAGCTAGCACCTGGCAGGAGGCCTGGAACTCTAGCTGCTGCTCCCACCCCCTCCCCGCCCTCCATCACCTCAGCTCCAGGAAACCAGCTGGGACAATGCCTTCCATTCAGCCCTGTCCTCTCTGTCAGACCGAGGGCCTGGAAGGGGGGCTCTGGTGGCAGCAGTTCCCTTGTGCTGTGCCATAGGCTGGGCTGGCAGTGAAGCGGCATGGAGGGGTGAGTCTGGGGCCTGGGACTGGAAGGGGTGCTAAGAGCAGCTGAGTGGACCGGCAGGCAAGCCCCTGCAACCTCACTGTGATTCTAATTGCTGGGGAACTGGGGCTTTGGGCCCTGATGGCTTGCACTTCTCCAACGTCTCCCCGTCTGGGTTTTCATCTCATGTTTGATTTTTCTGAGAAGCATGTTCTTTATGGGTGTTCTTGTTCACTTTATAGGCCTGTCTGTTGTTTGGCTGGAAGGTGATGTCTAGGAATGGAAGGGGCTGCTCCTATGGGCTCCCAGGGACCAGTCATCTGGGGGCTTATCTGAGAGCTCAGCAGCCCTGAGTCCTGGATGCTTGTCCCTTCAGGGATCTATCCCCACGGCCCCCTCCCTGGCTGCCTTGAGCACTACCCTTTACCACAGGCTCTGGAGAAGGCCACCAGCCCAAAGCAAGGGACCCTGAGACCCAAAGGACACCGGAAACAGTGACAATCAAACGAGCAGAGATGAGGGAGTCCCCAAGAGTGGGGGCTCAGTGCAGGGTCAGGAAAGTTCTCTTAGAGACCTTTCTGGACAGAAGGAAGAGCTGAAGTTAGGTGACACAGGGAGCTTGAGGAGACAGCTCCGATAAAGCTATGTGTTTGGAGGAAGAACTGCGCGGTGACCGGAGATTTCTAGCTGGGAACATCAGGAGTCGGAACTTTTCACCAAAGGCCATGGGGGGAGGGGCTCTTTGGCTGATGGGTGGTAAATGAAACACGGGAGACCAGGGGAGTCCTGGTGGCCGTGGTCACCCTGCAAGAAGTGATGGTTGGTGGCCGTGGTTGTGACACAGAAGGATCAAATGGAGGAATGGACAGGTAGCGGGGTGGAGGTTTGGGTGGATAGATAGATGGATAGTTGGGTGGAAGCGTGGATGGATGGATGGTTGGATGAAAGAATGAATGGGTAGAAGAATGGACAAACCAACAGATAAATGGATGAGTCAATGCATGGGTAGGTGGATGTAAGGGTGATAGGTAGATGGATGAATAGATGAATGGATGAGTGGATAAACAGATAGATGCTTGAATGGATACATGGGTGGCTTGGATGTGTGGCTGGATAAGTGGATGAATTAGCTTAAAGTGCAGTCCCAACCCCTTTTCCTCAGTTCCCCTTGTCCCTGTTCAGGCCAATTGGGTGGTGCTCAGATGAGGGGAGAACCCAGAGAAATAAACAAGGAGCAGAGGTGTGAGCCACCTGGCCACTCTTGTCAGTGTGACTCAGAACAGTCATGAAGGCTTGTTCAGGGAGCTCTGGCCCCAGACCAGGGCCTTCTTTCCCACTGCCATGCTGTCTCCTCGAGGTGGGCGCTGGGCCCACATCATTTAGGAATGGCTGCTTCGGGGCCTGGCCATATCCCATGCTCTGAGCCCCAGCATCATTCCTATACTCAGCAAGTCTTTACTGAACCACTTGGCTCATGGTCAAAGAATGCGCCTGGTGGCCTTTATGAGCCTCAGTTTCTTCAAGTGTGAAACAGGGTTACTATCAGAATTGCCACCGCTCAGGGGTGTGACAGGCCTCCCTAGGCCAAAGGAGGTTGATGTCTGAGGGATGTTGGAGACAGAAGTGACACTGTGGCTGTGGCTTTGTGAGTAGAGATTGTGGGGCCCTGTTCCTGTGGACAACTGACCGTCCTCCTTCTCCCAGGCCCCAGAGCTTCACTCGGTTCTCTTTGCTGCTGCTGTTTCCACTGCTGCTGCCGCTGGGCCCAGGCTGGCCCACTGCTGCTCAGAGCTGCCCGTGGATCTGTGTCTGTGACAACTCCAGGTGGCATGTTGCCTGCCAGCACCAGAACCTCACCGAGGTGCCAGACACCATTCCCGAGGTCAGTGGGGCAGGGAGCATGGGCCTGGTACATCAGCGATCACATCTGTAAAGTGGGTAATCATAGTAACCAGTAACAGGAGAAAATCTGTTCCACGTTCTGACTGGAACAAGTCAGTGAATTCATCAGAGTCTCTGTGGCAGGGTAAGAAGTGGTCTCTGCCCTATGGACTCCTCATGAGCTGGTGAGGGACAGAAGAGAGGTCACCAGGCAGTGATCATCCAATGTGGGGAGAGAGGAAGGCTTCCTGGAGGAGATGTCAGGGAAGCTGAGATCAGCAGGGTGAATAGAAATGAGCTAAAGGTGAGGGCGAGGGGGCGGAGTGTACCAGGTGTGAGAACTTGTGTATGCCACGGTCTGACCTGAGTCGGGCCGCAGGTTGTGGTTACTGTGTCCTTCAGCTTTCTCCTCCCTCCAGCTGACCCAGTGGCTGGACCTCCAGGGTAACATGCTGAAGGTGATCCCCCCAGCTGCCTTCCAGGCTGTGCCCCACCTGACACATCTGGACCTGCGCCATTGTCAAGTGGAGCTGGTGGCTGAGGGCGCCTTCCGTGGTCTGGGTCGCCTGCTGCTCCTCAACCTAGCCTCTAACCGCCTGAGCACGCTGCCCCAGGAAGCGCTGGATGGACTGGGCTCCCTGCAGCGGCTGGAGCTAGAGGGGAATCTGCTGGAGGAGCTGCGTCCAGGCACGTTTGGGGCCCTGGGGGCCCTGACCTCTCTGAACCTGGCCCACAATGCTCTGGTTTACCTGCCGTCCATGGCCTTCCAGGGACTACTGCAGGTCCGCTGGCTGCAGCTAGCCCACAATGCGATCAGTGTGCTGGCCCCTGAGGCCCTGGCCGGTCTGCCTGCCTTGCACAGGCTCAGCATGCATCACAATGAGCTGCAGGCTCTTCCGGGGCCAGCCCTATCCCAGGCTCAGAGTCTGGTGCGTCTGGAACTGGGCCACAACCCCCTAACCTACGTGGGTGAGGAGGACGCGCTGATGCTGCCTGGCCTGCGGGAACTGCTGATGGACCACGGGGCGCTGCAGGCCCTGGACCCAAGGGCCTTTGCTCGCTGTCCACGCCTACGAACCCTCGACCTCCGCAGGAACCAGCTGGAAACACTGCCCCCGTTGCAGGGTCTGGGCCAGTTGCGCCGGTTACGGCTGCAGGGGAACCCATTGTGGTGTGGCTGCCAAGCCTGGCCGCTGTTTGAGTGGCTGGCGCGAACCCGCGTGCAGGCTGGTGGCACCTGCGGGGGACCCCGGCAGCTTCGTGGGGAGGCACTGGATGCTTTGAGGCCCTCGGCCCTGCGATGCCTGGGGGATGATGCAGAGGAGGAAGCGGAGGAGCTGGCAGCCCGGCCCCGAGCCCCCACACGTGCTCCCCAGGAGGATGAGAGGGCAGCCCAACCTTGCCCTACAGTGTGTGCATGTGCCTCCGAATCCCAGCACAGTAGCTGTGAAGGCCGCGGCCTGCGGGCTGTGCCCAGTGGCTTCCCCAACAATACCCAGCTCCTGGACCTACGGAGGAATCACTTCCCCTTGGTGCCTGGAGGGGCCTTCCCTGGCCTGGACTACCTGGTGTCCCTGTACCTGCAACACTGCCACATCACTGAGCTGGAAGCAGGCGCCTTGGCAGGCCTGGGTCGCCTGGTCTACCTCTATCTTGCTGATAACCAGCTCTCGGGGCTCAGCTCGGCTGCCCTGGAAGGGGCCACCCACCTTGGGTATCTGTATCTGGAACGTAACCACTTCTTGCAGGTGCCGGGGGCTGCCCTGCACGTCCTGCCCAGCCTCGTCTCCCTGCACCTGCAGGACAATGCCGTGGAGAGCCTGGCGCCAGGAGACCTGGTGGGAGCTCGGGCCTTGCGCTGGCTCTACCTGAGTGGGAACCGCATCACCCATGTGTCCCCGGGGTCGCTGGGCCCAGCCCAGGAGCTGGAGAAGTTGTACCTGGATGGGAACCAGCTGAGAGAGGTGCCCACCAGGGCCTTGGCTGGGCTGCTTGTCCTGGCAGAGCTGCAACTCTCAGGAAATCCGCTCAGGATTCTGCACGAGGGGGCCTTCCGGCCTGTGGTCCAGTCACTGAAGCTGCTCTTCCTCAATGGCAGTGGCCTGGAGCAGGTAGGAAAGGTGTGGGCACCCAAGGTTACATGGCTTCCCTTTTGTTGGCAGGCCTGTGGTACTGGGTATCCGAGACCCAGCCAAACCCAGTACCTCAGGGCAAGAGGTCAGCTGGGGAGGGGGCACTGTGGTCATGGAGAGGTCCATGGGGCTGCTGCTGTTTGCACACATGGCGGCCTGGCTGGTTCCCCCAACAAGCTTTGCATTCTGCAGGTAGACAGGAGTTTCAGCAGAGCAGACAGAGCCATGCACTGGGTGTCTGGGTAACTTTGGCATCCCAGTGCGGCCCCAACCTCCCTTGGGTTCTCTAGCTGTCCCTCGGCTGGGGCAGCAGGGGGCAGGGCCAGCCTGGTGGGAGCTCCACCCAGGCTGTGATATGTGCCTTTTGCAGGTTTCTCCCCGAGCCTTCGAGGGTCTTGGTCCCAGGCTTCAGAGCCTGCACTTACAGCAGAACCGGCTGCAAGCCCTGCCGGCCCTGCCCAAGCTCACTCAGCTTCAGCACATTGACCTCAGCGGCAACCCCTTCCGCTGTGACTGCCAACTGCTCCCGCTGCACAGGTGGGTGCTCCCGAGCTGGACCCTCCACCCAAAGTGCCGTCATGCCTCATCAGCTGGCCTAGCAGTTTGGGTACTGGGGGTCCTACCAGAGCTGGGATGATCTGCCCTTCTCTGAGTTGAGTACCTGGTCTGGCAAGCATGGTATCTAATTATCATCCCTAGAGAGCAACAAGACTCCCAAGTCAGGCTGACCCACACTCAGCTCCCAGCTCTGTGATTTGGTAGTTGGCCAACATTCAGCAAGTCACCATACTTGTCTGCGTGATTCCTCGTCTGCAAAAAGCAGATGGTTGCTGTCAGAATGGCTAGTTGTCATTGAGCGGGCTCTCATGTGGTGACCCATATCCAACAGAGTCTAATGTGCCCGGTTTGGCACCACCTTCACCATTATTGGTATGTTTGAACCATTGTGACCACTTCCAACCTAGGGGGCTCTCCTGCCAGCTTTATACTGAGTAATAGTCTTGTCATCCCTAAGGTTTTCATTGGCTGAGTTTTGGAAGCGCATCACCAGGTCTTTATTCATAGAAACGTGTCTACCACAGGTGACCCTGCTGATGTTTGACACACTGGTGCCCAAAGCTTTAGCATCACAGCAACACAGATACATACCACCCATGTGACAAGCTGACAGGTGGAACAATGTAGCTAGTTAGCATGTATACGCTCATCTCAACAGTGCTAGAAACTTACTATTATCATTACTCTTACTGACCCCTGAACAGACGGAGGCTGTATTTTGGTGCTACTTGCTAAGGGTCACATGACTGGCTGCAGAGCCCGAATTCTCCTTAGCTCCTGCTCCCATCTGCTAGAAAAAGCGCCAGCCAGCTGGCTCTGCTGGTCACCAGTTCTCTCTCCTCAGGTGGCTCACAGGGCTGAACATTAAGGTGGGGGCCACCTGTGCAGTGCCCCCCAGTGCCCGCGGCCAGAGAGTGAAGGCTGCCATGGCTGCCTTTGAAGCCTGTCCTGGCTGGGCTGCTGGGAAGGCCAAGCGGACACCGGTGCCTCGGCCCAGTACCAGGAGAGCACCCACCAAGGGGAGACGCCAGGGCATCCATAAGGTTGGCAATGGGACTGGGGGGCTTGGTGGGTGACTCCAGTTGCCAAAGCCCCTGGGGTAGTAAGGGTCTAATTTCTCTGGATTCATGTGGTTCATCTGTCCCTCTTATCTCCATCCCTGGGGTAAGCCCAGGGGTTAATGTGCTGGACTGCAAAGTCAGTATTTCAAGGTCGGAGGTTCAAGCTCATCAGTTGCTCCTTGGAAATCCTAAACAGGGTCACTATGGGTTGGGACCAACTCAATGGCACTTAACAACCACAACCCTATACAGGGTCGCTGAGTCAGAACCAACTCAAGGGCACGTATTTTATCCCAGGGAGTCCTGGTGTGGTGCTGCCGGTTAATGCACTAGACTGCAAGGTCAGTGGTTCAAGCTTACCAACTCCTCATTGGAAACCCTATATATGGTCGCTGAGTCGAAACAGACTCAACAGCACTGAACAGTAAGCAGTTTTATCCTGAGGAGCCCCTGGTGACACAGGGGTTAAATGTTTGGCTTCAAGTAGGTAGACCAGTGGTGCAAAGCCACCAGTCACTTCTGCAGAATACAGCTTTACTAACACTGTGGAGCAGTTCTACTGTCCTATAGGGGGCTGAATCAGAATAGACTTGATGGCCCTTTTGTTGTTCTGAGGCAGGAACCTTTTGAATAAACCTCAGCATGGCCAGATCCTGTCCATAAATTCGATCTTTTCTGGGTCACTGTTGAGTCAGCAGTGTCCTGTCCTAACCACAGGGCCCAGCTCCTGCCTGGGGTCACATGCGGGTGTATTAGTCCATTCCTGAGCACATCTCAGCTGAAGGTTGGACCCCACTTGGGCCAGTCCATCAGCTGGTCATACCCATTCATATCCAGGAACCTCAACTGTAGCCACAAAATCCATCCCAGCACATCAGGTAAGGGTGGGTGGGATACAGGGCTCTTCCCCATGGAAATCACTGCTGTATGGGAAAGCCTGCGAGGTAGAGGGGCCTGTCTGAAGTGAGAGGCTGGTCCTCGGAGGGAAAGCAAGTGGGTGCTGGGAAGGTGAGGCCAGGGCTCTACTTCTCCCTCCCTCAGTATTTTGAAGATTTGAGGTTCCTTGGGGAAGGAGGTTGGGAGCCCAAGCAGACAGTACAATGGTCACCTGCTCATGGCCCCTTTTCTGCTGGGCCTTGTGCTCCACAGCAGCCTGCTCTCGGACTTAAGGGGGAAGGCCCCGACCCTTCACACATAGTAAGGCAGCTACGGAAGGAACTGTAGCTCAGACCAGGTCTGACAAGGTCCTGAGTCCCAATGTCCCAGATGCTGAAGGACACACAGGGCTTTGGTGGGATGCTCACTTTGCTGAAGGTACAATGCTGGGCTTCATCTGCCTCTCTGCCTTGAGGCCCCAACGTCTAGCATGTGCTCAGGTGTGGATCAACCACAAAGTGGACTCCTGGTGTGGCGCTATCAGATAAGCACAGGACTGCAAACCACAAGGCAGTTCAAACCCATCAGCTGCTCCTTGGAAACCCTACATAGGGTCTTTATGAATCGGAACAGACTCGATGGCACTTAACAAGGGACACAAAAAACACAGACTCCAACTGTGGGGAACTCTCAGGTGCTGATGACATTTGTTCTTACTGCTCTGAGCACATTTCATGTGTTACCACACTTAACCTTCAGTTGGAGTGAGTAAGGTCCCATCTCGTCTGACAAGCAGTTAGGTGGTCTGGGGAAGCCAGTCCAGGGCTGGAGCCCAGCAAACTCACCGTCCTGTCCTGCTCAGCTGTCCTTCCCACAAGGCTCTTGTGCTCATGGCACCTCTGTTGTTGTTAAGTGTCGTTAAGTTGGTTCTGACCCATAACGACCCTGTATAGAGTTCCCAAGAAGCAGCTGTTAAGTTTGAACCACCAACTTGTGATCCAGTGCTTATCTTACAGAACCACATCAGGACTCCCATGATGCCTGAGTACTGCTTCATTCAGGACAAAGGCACCAAGTGCCAAGATGGCATTGAAGACATTACCCAGGAGCCCTCAGTCAGAACCGCAGGGGAGTCTGGGATGATGATGTTCTCTAGCTGGGCACATCACCAGGAAAAGCAAGCACTCTGAGCAGGTGGTAGAGCCAAAGCTTAAAGCCAGGCTGTCTCCTTCCCAATCTCCTGCCACCGCCAGCATCATCACTGCCATCTTGAAGCTGGTGTGGCTGTGAGCCTGCGTGTGCACGAGATGGGGTTAGGGAGGCACAGTCCCAGCCACTGTGTTAGCACTCTCTGGGCTGCACCAATAACAGGTCTCTTTCTGGGCCTGGTTTTTGCACCACATGGACTACCTGGTGCTTTTGGCAAGGGAACTAGAGAGGAGGGGACCGAGGGGTTACTGATAGACTGAGAAACAGAAAAGCAGCTAGTTCTGACAGAATTAGCAGACAGTGCATGGAGAGGAGCAGACCACTCCCCTACTTCAGGACTCTCTGATCCCATTAGTGGGGAGGAGGGCAGTAGAAATGACCAGTCCTCCACAGCCAGGTCCCATTACAGGGTAGACTCCGTGTGCCCTGGTAGAGTGTGCAGAACCATTGCCCAGCAGTCTGCCCCATCACACAGCCCAGGGGACAAGTGTTCTCCCCACCCACATTCCTTCTAGGCAGCAGGAGTCTGTGCTCTGGCCCTCCAGGGTGCCCCCGAGATGCAGAGCACCATGCGGGAGGGAGGTGGGGGACAAGGTGGCGTCCATCACAGTCCCCAGAGAGCAGAGCTGCCCCGGGGCCTTTATTACACACACAGCACACACTGTCCCCTCTCCCTGTGAAAGGGCGGAAGCACACAGCCTCCAGGCCCACGTACTTTAAGCTTCGGAAACTCCAGCTGGAGACACGTGTGGGGGCTCAGCCACGTGGGACTCCATTAAAGTGGGCAGAGTCGAGGGGGCGTGTCAAGGGAAGCCAGGTTTACCCTTTAGGGCCTGGGGCCCCAGCTTCGGGCAGAATTTCTGCAAAATAGCTTCGTCTACAAACTCCAGTGGGCAGAGGGTGGTGTCAGTCTGTGGCGGAAGGTCAGTCGCCTGTCTCCTGCTTGATGTCCTCAACAGGGACAGGCAACTCGGGACCCTTAGCCTTGTGGGGTGCAGCCGTGTCCAGGTGCTCCTCCTTCACCCGCATGGTGACGACTCCAAAAGAAAGGGGGGCAGGAGGAGAGGGTGAGTGAGGTGGAGTTCTGGAGCCCCTCACCCTCCTCTCAGCCACCAGCGGAGCACCCTTAACCACACTCAGTAAGCTACCCACCCTGCCAAACACTAGAAAAGCCCTCCACCACAAGCTGACTCTCCTTTCTGTGCCCAGGTGGGGAAGACCCGGCACCTCATCTGAATGCAGGCAGCCCACGCTCACCAGGATCCGGCTCAGCCAAGGTCTCTCTGGTAGCCTGCGGCTCCGCCTCCAACTGCGCCTTCTTGGAACCCTGCCTCAGGGGCCGCGGCTTGGTGGGCGCTATTCTTTTCCCTTTGAATAAAAATGGGAGTCACATCCAGCATCAGACTTGTACGTGAGGACCCCAGAGGCCTAGAGACACGTGCTCTTGGCAAGGTTCATAAAGACACGGAGGCTTTGAGAGGCGCTTTCACATCGGGCACTAGTAACACCCGCTTCCCACTCAGACCCTCGGATCTGTGGCAGGACCCCTCGCAGGCACTCCACAGCCCACACCATCAGCACGCTCTCCTGTGAGGTGGGTGCCTCACACCAGCCTGGCTGCTTCGAAGCATCACTTACTTTTCTTCCCAAACGGTTTCCTTTTCTTCTTCGTGGCCTCTTTGGCCTTAAGAGGTGTGGTCGACTCAGCTGTTCAAAGAGGAAATGAAATAAGAGTTCTGGGTGGGCACAGGATACAGCAACATCTGAGACTCCCCCCCGCCCCCCAAGGTTTCTCCCAGAAGGGAAGCCAGATTGGACAACAGGGCCAGGTGGGGCTGCGGGGGGAGGCTGGAGGACAGTTGTCCCTTCTTCCCACCCTTGTCACTAGGGCTCCCAGAGGGTCTGGGTGTTTTACCAGGGTGCACAGGGGCACGGTCAGGACAGAGGGGAAGACAGGAGTCAGAGTGGGGGGTGAAGAGAGAGTGCTCGCGTCTCTTAGGAGTGGGCCAGGAGGCTTGAGGATGTCATACCAAGGTCACAGGTGGGCCGGGACAGTGGGGAGGTGGTTGTTGGAAGAAGGGAAGAGAAAGGAGAGCAGACAGCTCCTGAGGGTGGTCAGAGCTCAAACCTGTGGCCACAGGGGGCTGCAGCTGGTAGCCGGTGAGCTCACACCAGCCCACGGGATAGATGTCCGGGGACTCACAGTCCACCCACTGGTCATACTCGTTGTCCCAGCCGTCAAAGTGGATGCTGAGGAGCCGATGTACCACCTGCTTCACGGTGGCCACACAGATGAGCCGTGGCTCCATCAGGTCCACGGCCTCCAGCTTCATGCCCACCCTGAAGCCGTGGTTGGGGCAATCCTGGGGGAGGGGAGGCAGCTGCTGAGCTGGCTGGCTCTTGGCCCAGCAGGCAGACCTGGGGCGGGCTACAAGGGAACTGAGCCCCTCCCCAGACACTGAGGAGCAGCAGTGAGTCTGTGCTGTGCCTGGTGGGGCTGGTCTCAGAGAAGGCGCTGGACCACAGCCCTGAGGCCGCTCCTACCTGCCACTACTCCACCCTGTCCCCTCACCATGTTAAAGAGTCTTGATGGGGCTGCTTTGGACTTGGTCTTTTCCAAGTAGGCCTCCCAGTTGAAAGTCTGTCCCTCGTACCCTGGGAGAGCAAAAATTCAGACACTGAGCAAGACGAGGGGAACTCCCAGGGGCCAATACAGCTTGGGCATGACTTGGCCTGAGTTCAGCCAGCAGCCTCTTCCTCAGACCTGCAGTCCCTGGTGGTATGGGATATTCACAGATCACTAAGCCACACACTGACCTTTAGGGGGCGTGAGCTCAATGTCATTCTTCTGACAGAAGGTGGCTGGGAAGATGGCGTGGGAGGAGGCGTGGTAGCAGAACCAGTCCGAGCCATCCGTGGAAGGGCCTCCGTCCACACACATCATCAGGTAGCCGTCGAGAAGCACCTGGATGTGGGGTTGGGGGGTTGGGATGGATAATCAACACTGGACTGGGCACTGCCCTTAGACCAGTCCCCAGGGGTGAGCAGACTCATGGATGGATGAACAGGGTGGTCCACAGCTCTCAGGCTGCGGCAATCATGAGGAGGACTGAGTGGTCAGCTGAGCTGGGGCTTGAGGCCAGGCCAGTATTCAAAGGGAAGGCCCTGGTGAGGGGACAGGGTGGGACCATGTGACAAAGGACCAGCCAGGTGTTTAGTAACCAGGACCAGGCCTGTGAGCACTCGGAGCCGCCTGTGAGGGAGCGGGGGTGGTGGAAAGCCCGCTAAGGTGGAGCCAATTTGGGCTCACCTTGCAGATGGTCGCCACGCAGATGTTGCCCAGATTCAGGGGGTCAATGGCCTCCAGTTTCATGCCCTCCTCAAACCAGCCACCTTCCGTATAGACAGCTCGGACCTCGAGAGAATGAATGGGCAACTGGGGAATCACTGGGCAGGCCAGGCATAGCTTGTAGCCCAGGGAACAAAGATCTCGGGGCTGGGCCTCACCTTCTTGAAGAGGTAAGGAACGGCATCGCAGTAGATTTTCCGGAAGGTGGGATGGTGGGCCATGTCGCTGCGCCTCTCTTTTAGGGTGATGGGAGTGGGGAAGAGAAGGAATTTGAAGGAAGCTAACAGAGCTATCTCCAGGTCTACCCCAGAAGTGAGGGGCTGGTCAGCCCTCGGCAAGGCTGCCCTGGAGACCCAGATTCTCCTGTGGTACGGGAGACAGGTGGGGGCTGTGGTGGACCACGGAATCCCCATCTCCCTGCTGGCATGGGCATGGGTACAGGAGGTGGAGTCCTACCAACCTGACATCTTGATGCCGTGGCCAACGCGCCGTGACCAGCCCACCGGGTGGATGAGGGGGCTCCACATGTGGCACCAGAAGTCATCGTCACTGTCACCATCCTCATAGAGGAGCCGCAGGCGGCCCCCGATGACCGTGTCTACCACGGCCATGCGCGTCCGTGACACCTGGGACTTGTCCACCACCTCTAGCCTCATGCCCTGTCGGAAAGGGTACTTCATGCTCTCTGCCATCTGCAAAGACACCAGGACACACACTGCTGGTCATGGGAGCCCTCCTACGTCTGAGAGTCCTGGGAAGAATGGACAGGTATATGTGGTGGTCACTCCAAAGACGAAAACAGGAAGTGGGCAGGTCGTGCTCTCTGGGGAGGTGGGTTTCGAGGGCAGAACTCAAAACACGGGTACCACCTGCCAGCCCCCAAATGCCACAAAGACGATTGGATGAGAATGAGGACGCCCATTTCACACTAAAGAAACTAAGGTGACCCCCGGCCACTGCCTAGTGTCCAATCTGCTTTGGCCTCCTGGCCACCTCTGCTGATGGCACAGACAGAATACACGTCTGTCTGTCTGCTTCCAGCTCTGACCAGATGGGCCATGAAGCAGGGCGAGTGCAGGACAAAAGGTCTTTTTTGTTTGGTGACTGCAGCAGAGACTGACTGAGCTGGTGAGCTCTGGAGGGGTCCCAGTCATGCACACTGCTGACTGGGAGAGCCAGTCACCTGTCTCGGAACGAGGTGACCAGGTGACTGAGCACACCTGGACAAGAAGCATCTCAGAGGCCACAAAGCAGCCAACAGGAAAAGCTGAGCCCCAAGCCAAACAGAAGCAGCCTTGGTGGCACAGTGGTTAAAAGCGCTGCTGTTAACCGAAAGGCTGGCAGTTCAAATCTAGCAGGCCCTTCCAAGGAGAAAAGATCTTGTGACCTGCTCCCACAAAGACTGCAGTGTAGGAAACATTACAGACAGTTCTACTCTGTCACGAGGTTGTGACGAGTCAGAATGGACTCATTGGTACCTAACAACAAAATGAGATAGGTCCTTCAACTAAGACACATCCTCACAGCAGGGTCCTATCCCCATGTCACGAGGCCTCATTTAGGAGACAAGGCAGGAGGCTGAGGCCTGCTCAGGGCTCCTCCGGCCACCTCACCCATCTAGTCACCCATCTAGCCCTTCCTCTGCGTCCCCTACCTCACTGCCCACAACCCAATACCAGGTAATCCCGCATATCTGTTTATGGTTACACACACAAGAACACTGTACGTGCAGAAAACTGAGCTTGGCCTGTTTCTACATCCTCACCCCAAGCGCAGAACTAGGCACACAGTCGGTGCTCAGTTAATGCTTTTTCCTGAATAAATGCGCAACCAGCCCTGGTCATTCACACACAACAGTTTAGTAAGCAGGTCATTTTGTAAGAAAGAACTAAAGAGCATGTTTGGATTGGAGACACCTCCACAACCCCACCCTCCCATCCCCCTGAATTAACAGAGGGGGCACCGGGCAGGTCAGCAGACTCCATGTCCTTCCTTGGGAAAGGCCTGTCCTGTCCTGGTACCCTCCCCTAAGCATCACCTCCACAGCGACCATCCTTGGGACCATCCCTGGCCCCCATCCCATCTCATCCCTTGCCCTGGCCGTGGCTAGCAGTCTTCTGCTCCTGTGTACAGGTCAGTGTATTCCACCCAGAATTCAGCTCCTGTTCAGGTGAGCAGGAAAGAACCCCCCTGATACTCTGACTGGTCAGCACCGTCCACTCTCATCCGGCTTCATTTCAGACAAAGACAGCACTACAGCTGTCAACTGTCCATGGCATTATGAGAAGCAGCTTCTGATTTTGTGGAGACTATGAGGAGTGTAGTGGTTATGAATCGGGCTGCAAACCTCAAAGTCAGCAGTTCGAAACCAGCTGTTCCGCGGGAGCAACATGAGGCTTTCTGCTCCTGTCAAGATTTATAGCCTCGGAAACCCTGTACAGGGCCGCTATGAGTCAGAACTGACTCCACGGCACATAACCACCACCACCACCACCTTTTTTTTGAGATATAAGAAATTAAGTAGGCAAGCAGAGCTTAGAGGGACCAAGACAGACGAGCCAAGAGTAGGAAAGATCCTTTGGCCCTGGTGTTCCTGAACCATGAAGCTCCTAGAACCAGGGAGAAACTGATGGTAAGATATGGAATACTGGACCCACAAATGCTGACAGGAGACAAGGATCTCTCTCCAGAGCCCACAAAGAGAAAGCCCTCCCCTAAAGCCAGCACTTCGAATTTGGACTTTTCCTGAAGTGTGAGAGAACAAATTTCTGTTTGTCAATGGCACCTACTTGTAGGGTTTCTGTGATCTCAGCACCAGAGAACTAAGACACCAGGGGAGGGAGAGATGAGTAGGTGGAGCATAGGACATTTTTACAGCAGTGAAACCATTCTGTAGGACCTGGTCATGGACACATGACAAGTAAGCATCTGTCAGAACCCACAGGACTAAACAACACAAAAAGTGAACCCTAATGTGAACTATGAACTTAACCATCAATACTGGTTCATCAGTTGTAGCCAACGTGGCATAGGAACACAAGATGCTAACAGGAAAAATGACGGACGACCAGGGGTGAGAGAGGGAGCCCGGTTCTTCCTGTACAATTTCTCTGTCAAACTAACTAAAAGTCAAACCTGTTGCTGTCAGATAATTCCAACTCGTGGTAACGCCATGTGCTACAGAACAGAAGTGTTTCAGGGTTTGTTTTCTTGGCTGAAAAATAGTCTATTACAATGAGAAAGAAGAAAAGCAGAGGGGCAGGAGGGAGGCAAGTTAGGAGCCCATAGGGCTCCCTGTCAGACCTTGATATGGAAATCCACGGGGAGGGTCCTGGAGCCCACCAGCCGCTTCATGAGGTAGCCCTTCCAATCGGTGAATTTGGCATGGATGGCTGCGGAGACAGGGGGAGGCCTGATTACAAACGGACACCACTCCCAGTCAGCCAGCAAGGGAGGACAGACCACCTCATCTCACCAAGACAATCTACAACTTGGATCTACCAACCAGTTTCATCAACTCACTTCGTGGAGGCACTAGGATCTTGCTGTTGATGGCACACCAGCCAATGGGGTGGACGTCCACAGTCCCTAAGTTACACCAGAAGTCATGGCTGGCATCATTTTCAAAGCCTTCATACCGAAGCAGGACCCGATACCCTGAGAGGAAGGAAAAGGGCCCCAGTGAGGGGAAGGGCACACTCAGAGGCCTTCTAGCTTCTCTAGTCTCATCTGGCCTTCTGCTGCCTGCTCCAAGGATTCCTTCAAGGAGACTGGGTCTCTTAGTCTCCACCACAGCCATAGCAAAAGCATGCCACTTACTCACAATCTGTTACTGCACTGTGGTGACAGCTCATCACTCCTGGAATAAATGGGTGTTTCTAAGCATGCTAACCTCTGTGGTCCCTGCCCAGACAGGCTGGGTGGGAGCAAGGACGGACACTCCAGTAGCTTTAAGCCAGTTTCTGCTCACCCAACTAGGCGTTCCTCTGGAGACATGCCAGGGAAGCTCACCTGCAGCCTGGATGACCGAGGCGATCCAGTACACCCGGCTGGGGAGCACTGCGTCACTGTTGAGCACCTCCACCTTCATCCCTTTCATGACATCCTCCCACTGGTCATAGAGCGGCACCTGTGGTGGATCGAGATCAGCAGTGGGAGAGTTCGTGGGCTAGCAGCCAAAATGGCCAACCTCCCCGCCTAGTCAGTCACGACTTCCTCTAGCTGAGCACCCCACATGTTCACATCACCTTGGGGGTGCTAACTGGGGTGGGGTTACAGTCCTGAGTTCTGATCTTTATAGGACCAGAGACTCAGCTACTAGCAGTATGAACCTGGCTACATGGGAGACCAGTGCCTTGGTCTCCCATATAGCCCTAACACTTGGATGCTCTCAGCACAAAGTCCACCTTCTTCTGTCCTCACAGTCCTCATCTAACAGTGCCACCAAGACACCCGGCACTTGACTACTCACACATTACCACTGCAGGCATGCTCTTCCTCCACCCAGCTCTATCAACAGGCATGCTACCCCAATGGGCTCCTCACCCCCCACTTTGCTGCCATTGGTACCTGGATTCTTCTAAGCAGAAGTCCCCTCTGTCACGCTAAGCCCTGGCTCAAGTGAATCAGATAGCCCATCCCATGCCCTGGCTACCGAGGTGGGTTCTCACTGAGCCTAGAAGCAGTTAATAGAAAGGCCAGCACAGGGAAACAGGCTCTCAACAGTCACACATAGAATGTCAATGTTAACGCAGGAGACTGCCAAGACCCTCAGGGAATTCAGGGCCTGAAGGGTGTCTCCACCAGGAAAGTCCTCCACCTTCATTAGCAGCTCAAAAGAAGACTAGGAGTCAGCCAGTCAGGTTCAGGGCCAGTTCAGAAAGGTGTTGGCTTTCAGGAACCACAGGCCTCCTCCCAAACCCCCCTGGGCTTAAGAAATTAGTTTGAAAGACAAAGAGAGAGCATTCAGTGCATCCTGAGAGCTTGCAGCAGTGCAGTCTCCAAAGGGCAGCCAAGAAATCCTTCCAAGTTGAGCCCAGCCCTCCAGGGCCTCACCTTTGGGTGTTTTCACTGCTAAGGGCTCAGAGAGGTCTTAGCAGAAGTATCTGCACCTGCACGTCATGGGATCCAGACCCAAAGTGAAGCCCCAGACTTAAAATGGAGGGAGGAGGAGGAAGGGGCCTTCTGGATTGGAAGGACCCAGAGATCAACAAACACAAAGTTCCCTGATACAAACAAGCAAAGGAGGGGTCTCCATAAAACAGCAGCAGCAGCAGAAAGTCCTCCATAAATGTGTGCGTCAGGACATTCTGGAAATGTGGGCCATAAAGGTCAAATGGAGCTAGAGCCAATGGTGAGCCCACTCCAGCCAGACCTCCCACTGCGCAGCCTACAGTGGGCAAGTTGGGCTGAGGACCACAACCTGCTGCTGTCCCATTCCCTGCACTCCCACCCCTAACTGCCAGGGTCTCCAGGGACTCACGTGTTTAAAGCAGCTGACAGGAGCAGCCTTGTAACTGTGATCCTTCAGGAACTTGCCCCAGTCGAAACCCAAGACCAGAGCTGCAGAGGAGGGAGAGGAGAGCAGAGGGTGGAGCACAGTGGCCACTCTAGGAGCCAGGGACACTGCAAGGCCTGCAGAGCTAGGGCCCTTCCCCAGCCCAGCTTTCTCATTCCAAGGCTTCCGTACCTGCCCCACCTGCGGCCATCAGGACCAATGACCCCAGAACCTAACTAAAGGCTGCAGGAAGCAGCCATGGAGGGAACATCCAGAGTGAAGTTTCTCACCCTTCTTCCCCCAAAGAAAAAGTAAAACTCAGGCCCTAGAGCTTAAATTCCTGAACCTCCCATTGGCCACACCCATTCTGACCTGGTGGGAGGTGTGCTCCTGAGGCCCCGCCACCCACCACCAAGAGGCTCAATTCAACCAGGAGAGCAGAGACTTAACTAGCTTAGAAACTGCTATACATGTCAGAGAGAGTGACCCCTTTCCTTTTCCACCCCTCCTCCTCCCCCTCTTCAGACCAGCCTTGCTGCCCCACAGAGACACAATAAGCAGAGACAGAGAGCAGCAATTCTGGCCTTTTTAACCATCAGGGGCAATTGAAGGGTGTTTGAAGAGGTTCTCTGGGGGAAGCGGCCATCCACATGAGGCTGGGTCAGGGCACTTTCTAGACCCCACACCGGCCATGGTTTCCCTCCCTAGAGCCTCAGGACAGCCCCCTGGCAGCTTACTGGGAACTGCCCTCTGTGGTCTTACCATCTTGCCCAGTTGGTGTCCCATCTGCCAGCTGTCCGGTCCCCTGGGAGTGCAGGAAGGCTCCAATCTTGGCTGACCAAGCGGCCTTGTGCAGGACTTTAGCTTTCTTGGTGGGCGGTTTCCCCTGCAGAGAAGAAGAGAACGCGGGCACGTGCAGCCTATGGCCAAGAATGAATGTGGGAACTTGACCTACACCTATGTAAGCAGTAGCCCAAAAGAGGGAACAAATCTTCCCAGCGAGGATCATTCCCACCCCCTCCGCACACAGAGAGGACAAGGATGGGCAACTTGGATATTGGCTACCCAGAATGGGGTTGCTAGAGCGGCAAGAAGTGACTGGCTTACAAGCTTTCAAGAGGGAACCTAGATCCAGAGGGCATGGAGGAAGGTAGAATCCCCACTGAGTAGTATCCATTCTGTCTAGTAGGGGCTGATGAAAGGAGATGCGGACAGGTCTCTTGTGATATAATAGTGAATAATTGTTATCAGAACTGATTGTGAGGGCTGGAAATGTAAAGGTAGATGTTTTGTGGCAAAGGGAGGGGAATGATTAACTTTGCAGTCTAGGAACGGAGGTCCCTGGGACCATCAAGGGAGAAGAGTGGAGAATGGAACCCTACCCAAAGAAGCAGTGATGCCAGGAATGGAGGCAGAGAGGATGACGTGGGGAGATGGAGCTGCTGGGGACTTTGAACCTGAAGAGGAAGAGGGGCTGTGTGTGGATGACAGGTCAGCGGGGGGCAGGCTAGCAGGGTATAAACCCTTTGGTTGGTGGATGATGCACGGAAGGGATTGTAACCATGGCAAGGAAACGATATACGACAGAATCAATGTGAAGCTAATGTCCTCCCATGTAAACTATCACATAATTTACAGTAAAGCATTAAAAAAAAGAGAATGAATGTGGGGCTGGGCTGAACTGCCCAGCTTTACACTCTGGAGGCATCAGCTTCTTCAAGTGTAAATTGGGATGATGACAGTAACAATGCTTGTCTCAGATGGGGGTTCACAGGACCTTCCCTTCTCTGAAGCCTTCTCCTACCGCTTCATTCTAATCTACCTCTTCCTGCCAGTGCTCCTCCTACAGATCCAGGCAGAGTCTAGAAGCTTCCTGAACTGGCAGAAGTCTTGTATCATATAATATTTTAGAGAGGGGAGGATTGCAGCTTGCACCAGATGCTCACAGGGGGCCGCTTCCAAAGCAGAGAGCTACTGATCATTTAAGTGCTGACAAGAAAGGCCCAAGAATTCCGTACAGATTGCTGCTGGATGCCATGAAGTCCATTCTGACTCCCAGTGACCCTCTGGGATGTAGTGGGACTGCACCTTGGGGTTTTCTGGGCAGTCATCTTTACAGAAGCAGGTTGCCAGCTCCTTCCCCCGTGGAGTCTCTTGGTGGGTATGAACTGCCAATCTTCTGGCACTTAACTGTTACATCACGAGATTCACTGTTGCTCTGAGCCACTGAGTTCATTCTGTCTCCAAGTGATGCTACAGGACAGTGTAGAACCGTAGGACAAGCACTGGATTGCTAACATCAAGGTTGGCAGTTCAAACCCACCAGCCACTGCTAAGAAACCCTACACAGAAACCAACTCATTGGCACCTAACAACAACAATCTTACAGGGAGTCTTGGTGTGATACTCTAGGATAAGTAATGGACTGCTAACCACATGGCTGGCAGTTCAAACCCACCAGTCACAACTCAGAAACCCTACCCGGGGTCACTGTGAGTCGACGGCACTTAACTAAACACCTATCTTTACAGGGGCAGGTTACCAGGTCTTCTCTCCCAGTGCATAAAGCATCACCAGGGCTCCTACCACAAAGTTGTGAAGGAGAAATGTGGGCTTAAGCCCCAAAGAGACTTGGGGTCAAATATTAGCAGGACAGCTTTTAGTTGCATACCCTTGAACAAGTGATTACGGTTCTTGAGCCTGTATAGTGGAGATCTTTTCAAAGTCAATCTATATCGGAGATGGCTCAGAAGACTGAATGTGGGTGCCAGACCGTAAGCAGGTACCCCATTGTTACCACAAGGCCTTGGTGGCACTGTGGGCTAGGTGGTATTGGGCTGCTAGTTGTATGGTGTGTGGTCCAAGACCACCAGCTGCTCGGCAGAAGAAAGATGAGGCTGTCTGCTCCCATACATACTTTCAGTCTTGGAAATAGAGGGTTGCTATGAGTTGGAACCAACTCCATGGCACATCACCACCACCATGACCATGAGCTGCAGAACTCGATGGCAGTGGGGCTTCTTAGTTTGTCGTGACTACAAGCTCTCTGTCAGCACTCATCTGTTAGTCTTAGTTTATCATGACTACAAGCTCTCTGTCAGCACTCATCTGTTAGTCTTAGTTTATC